ATTGTTCACAGTCAGCTGTAAATTTCAAAAGCATTTGCTATGAACAACAGGTGTTGCTGCTTTGTTGAAAAAAAATCAATTTGCTTACTTTTTCCAATGACCCAGTTCAAATTAGTGGTTAAACTTCTCAGGAGTGTAAAAACTAAATTGGCAACCAGTAACTTTTCATCTTATCTGTATATTTTGAAGATTTTAATTAATACTAGCAGTAGAGCCCGGCGTTGCCCGGGGATGTAACAATTAGAGATAGATCAAGTATCGACCATCATAAAGACTGAAAAATAAAATTGACAAAGATTATTGTTTAAGCTTGACGGACACACATGTCTTAGTTAGTTTTTTTTGTTTTGTTTTAATTTTTTTTTTTTTTTTTTTTACGAATTGGTCAAACCCAAACAAAAACATTGTTTTTCAATCGTTATGAGTCTACCGATTGAATAGAATTTTATTATAAACAATTGTCTTGTAAATGGAATTTTTAAAGCATTCTGAATGTAAAAATAAAGAAAAAAGTGTGCAAGACAATAAGAAACACTCTGCCAAAAAAAAGTGAAGTTTTTTTTTTAAATCGGTTGAAAAATGTAGGAAATCCGATCCCATATATAAAGGAACACACACACAAACAACCTGGGTTTTATAATAAGTATAAAATGATATGAGTTGTTCCCCTTTCATTCTCGCGATGCCTCTTAATCGTGTTTTCAAATTGATTTTGTGCAAAAACAATTGTTTTCCAATTTTTGGCACTGTTAAAACCACCGCAAGGTAATTTTACGTAGTCCTGTGAAGTTTTGTTGAAATCGGTTGAAAAATATAGGAAATCCGATCCAATATATAAACATACAGACACACACACAACCTGGGTTTTATAATAAGTATGATTAATCCAGTTTCAATGTATCATTTAATAAGTACATATTTTAATATTTTAGGAATCCTTCAAAATATTTGCACACAAACACACACACACATATATATATATATATATATATATATAACACACACTAGATGTATTCGAAAAGTATTCACCAGCACTTTCTGCAAGCACAAATCCTCTATTAAAATGGAATGATCCTGTGCTTATTCCCACTGTGAGCAATTTCTTGGATTGTTACACAATAGTCTTCCATGACTATTTGCCAAACCTTCTTAATCAGCTCCTTGTTTCAGCTTGTGGATAGCCTGTCTGAGCATGCCTCACTATACACTGAGATGTGACCATGTTTGAAGCAGTTGTACCATGCCTTGCCCATACCATCATCACCAAAGGTTTTCTGGATGGTTTCAGCTTGAGTATCTTCAAAGCTTTTAGTAAAAATTAATGCAATTACTTTGCTTGATGCATTCTGACATCTTTGTGAAAATGAAAATCTATTGAATGCACACTACACATCTGTACTCAAGGTGTAACTGCTGGGAACCAATGTGGTCTAATAGTGAAAGATTTTCATACATGTGCAGGAAGGTTGGCACCATCTCCTATCCAGAATTTTACTGATGCTGCATTAGTTTGGGCAGGGAAAAATAAAGTTGGATACTTTTTGAACACACCTTGTGTGTGTGTGTATGTGTTCATGTATAAAAACGACTGAATAAAGGCAAAGGGAAAACTTCTTTACTGATGTATTTCATCCTTTGATGACCTTTTATCAAGGCAAATGTAAGGATTTTGCATTTATTTGCATGTTTATTTATAAACAGAAGTAAAAACCTAATATTTTTGCTTTTGTTTATAAATACATTCAATAAATGAAAAATAAAATTTGCCTTGATAAAGTTCATCAAAGGATGAAATACATCAGTATAGAACTTTTTTTGCTTTTATTCACATTTTTATTCATTTTACTTTCAACTGGAAGTAAGAGTGGATAGGAAAACTCGACTAGCGTCCAGTTGGAAGACAAAAATAAATGGGCACATAACTCAATACATAACCCATCCAAGTGCCCTGGCCACAATGGCCAGGGGCCTGCGATTCTCCTCCTCCTTGTCCTCTGCCTGGGTTCAGCAAGAAGTCACTGGGTGATATGGAAAGGGAGTGTAAACATTAAGTGGTCCTCCAAAATATTAAAAAATCTCAAGAAAAATAAACTGAGATGTGCTACAAAATATAAAAAGTATAAAATGTCCACAAAGTGTGTTCAGACCAAGTCTGTAACACTGAAACAACTAAAAAGTTATTAGGGTTATCCTGAAACTAAATGAACTTAAATTGAATGGTGGGGTTGGGGTCAACACAATAAAGACAAAGGTCAAGATCATAACTTCTACCCTTGGTTATGTGGAGCTACGATAGTGCTAAGTGCCCTGCTCCAGCTCTTTACTTATTGCTACCAAAGCATAGTATCTATGTTTGTCTTAATGAATTTTATCTCTGCTATTTTATGATGCAGGTCATCTTTCAACACCATGAAAGATGAAAAATACAATTGTTTGTAATAAAATATCACAAGTTTTATGTGTAAAATTTAATGGTGAAATAATTTAGCTTACAACACACTAATGCTGCACATTATATTAAACAAAAAAACTTAGTTTTTTTTTCTTTATACTTATTACTATTGCAATGATCCAGTAAAACTCATTTCTCAAATTTTATCTTTACTCATATTCTATATTAATCATGTCTAGATTAAAAATTTGTTTAAACTAATTGCAGCCATGCATTATTGTAAAATAAGTAAATAATATTTGATGGCTATTATATTTTTAATGACTCAGCTAATTGTTAATTTAAAATTTCTTAACAAATGCAAAGATCTGTTGATTTTGTTGTCATGGATGTTGCAGCATGAAAATTTATTTTTTTTTTTTTTTTTTAGTCCTTGGTGTAGTGTTTCTAATTGTATAGGCAACTTTTTAATGTTTTTCAAACCAGAATTTAAATGTCCCAGTGTGCATATTTTGTCTGTTAACCAGTGTTTCTTGTTTTGAACACCTGTTGGCTATTACGGTATTATAAGATAATAATTATTTGTTTAACTAATAGTTGTCTTCTTGCTGACAAATTCTAGTAGTTATTGAGAATGGAATATGGTTTTTGCATTGTTTAGGAAATAGCAACTAAGAAAATGTACTGGTGTATTTTCAGTTAAAAACATCGTTCCCACCATCACCAAGCCACTCTACATTTATTCTGCCTTGGCAATAAATTATTATCTCCTAAAAATTCTTCAAGGAATCCTAACATTAACTAAAGGCATTTTCTCTTTTAGCCAGAGTTAGAACCATTTCCCTCTAAGGTAACTGAAAGTTTATAGGAGAGAGAAGTTAATAATTTTTAAATCACATACTATTTTTCTCTTTAACCTGATGGAGGATATTTGAAGCAAAATGACACCTTTTCTATTCACTGTTTGATTTTTGAATGCACTACTTCAAGTGTGTCTCCCTATGTATGTGCAAGAATTGTTTGGTATCTGTCTTTATTTTTGAGATGAGGTATTATGTACATTTACAGTATTCGGACTATTGTTCTCATCTTTGTTGCCATATTTATTACAACATTTTGGCCATTGTATGCTCCGGCCTTCTTCAGGTGGTTGGAATGTCGACATTCTAACCACCTGAAGAAGGCCGGAGCATACAACGGCCGAAACGTTATAATAAATATGGCAACAAAGATGAGAACAATAGTCTAAATAATGTAGGAATTGTTTGATCATTTAAAGCAAGCAATGTTGTCTCAATACACTCCTTTATCACTAAGCACTTACCATAATCTTCCATGGTTTCACCTCACTTCCTCTTTTGGCTTTGTGTTTTCAGCTTTTGTGCAAATTTGTTTTTTCCTTATAATTGATAATACAATGCCAAACAAATCAATTTAATTCTGTTCAATATGGTTAATGTCAGTTTCAAAGATTTTATGACCCTCTCCTACTATTCACTTCAAATAGGACTCGATCAAACATTTTTTATTAATGTCTTTTAAATGTTCTAAACAATTTCATGGTTTTTGCAATTTTAAGTTTATTTTTCATCACAGTTTTCAAATCTTCATCTTTGCTGTTTTGAGCCAACTTCTCTTAGTTTTCACAAATAAAATGTCTGCAAATTTTAAAATTTTACAGTTTGTTTACTAATACCATTGTCTCCAAAGGTAAAAGTTGTCTTCCCCGAAGCTTGAACTTAAATAAAAATGTGAAATTTTAATGAAAGGCTTTACATATGTCTTCAAAAATGAATTAAATAATACACATTATTTGAAAATCAAATATGAATTAAAAGTATAATTGTAGCTACAACAAAAATCGGAAGAGAAAAAGCATTCAATTGTCCAATTACATTTTTTTGAGAAAATGATGAAAATGTCTTCAAAACAAACTCATTAATTTAATTTTGTTCAACCCATTATTTAAGGCAATTGGCTTATTTTTATTTTACATGGTTGCAACTTAATGTTCCAATTAATATTTCATATTTGTTATTCTTAACACTATTTTCTGATCACCACCGGATGACATATTGCAGATTTTTTTTTTTTTTCTCGTTAATGTGCTTTTTTTTAATTCAATCCAGTAGAATTTATTTGTAAGGAGAGATTGTATAATTATGAAGAAACAAATATTGTTTTTTTTTTATTTGGTAAAGTCCCTATCAAATAAGTGTCCCTTGTAGAATTCCTAGTACTGTAATAAAAAAGAAAACCAATTTCAAAGAGGATTGAAGGACTCCTTGAGTTGGTAGTCAGCCAGTAACACCTCTTGTAAACTTTTACTCTCTAGTGTTTAAAAACACACACACACACACACACACACTTTGTCTGATGGCTGACTGGGCATGAAGAATAAACAATAAGAAATCCTATCACACATTCCTATGTCAATCTTTAACCAATCCTTTCACTTTAAATGATCAATTAAAGTTGAATTTTCTTATGTGCACACAATTTGTTTGTTTAACCAAGATCCATATGTGCATGCATAATGTTACAAAATTTATCACCTTGCATATCTCTTATTAAATCTTTTATAAATGTTTTTCTCTTATTTTTCTAGATGTTCACCAGACATATACTGTGGGGTGTAGTGGCTTGTTCAATATTATGTATAGTGCAAGCATTCTATGTGCCTGGGGTAGCCCCTGTGGAATTTATAAAAGGACAATCTGTAGAAGTCAAGGTAATGTGTAATTTTTTTTTTCTTTTATTAATGTATTTACTAAAGTGGATGTTATGCATTTTCATGTTCATATCAAATGTTTTGTGGTTGGCAATGAGATTTGAATCTTCTCAAATCTCCAGCAGCACTTCCAATATCCTCACAGACCTGAGCTCCATTTGAATTTTCAGTTGCTTCAATCTTGGCCCCAATGTTTTTTCTTCCACAGTTACAAGTATGGCCCTAATCTTTATATTCTACATTTTCCTCATTTTAATGCAAGATAGTTTTTTTTCTTTTCTATTTCTATCTCTCAATAGACTTTCTTTGTTGACAGCTACCACATTTGGTCTTTATGGTTGGTTCAGATTATTTGAAATCAAAGTATTTTAATCTTTATTTTTTTAGGCTGGCTTTCAGTTCATCTTCATACCATTGTTTTACATGGCCTATTCCAAGTAGTTTACACAATTACCAGTGTGTCACTTTTCCTACACTGTCCTGCTTATTTTTGATCCATTTTTACTTCACTACTATTTTAACTAGTTTTAAAGTAGGTTCTTCAGTCATATTTGAACCTGTTCCAATCTTAGATGGGCATTTTACCAGTTTCTGAGCAATTTCTTGTCAAAATATTTTATATCTAGTATCTTAACTAAATTATTTCAAAATATTTTCCTTATTATATACTAACATTGTGTTACTTTCATTAAATCTTGTTTTAAAAACATTTACAATTTGAAAACATTTTAAATTTTATTTAAAAGTTTAGTACATGATTATTGGTTTATTTATAATGCAAATAATTTAAACTTAGTCAGAAGCCTGCAACAGAATACACAATTTGGTTCAAGAACAATACATCATCGAATGTAAAATTAGAATGACAGCTTTAACAACATAAAATTTTCTTTACACTATTTCTTTCTTTTCTAAATGAATAAATTTGTTCTTATCAGTTTTGGTTTCAAGGGTTTAAAATTTTCAACTGAATATAGAAATTAGCTCTCTCTCTCACACACACATATATATATATATATATATATATATATATTCTGTTAACTTTTGTACTGATATCCTTTGGAAAGATAAAAAAAAATCCACTTCTTGGGTAAATTTCATAATTCTATTTACACTTCTGGTGGTTACGACTAAGTTTTCTACTAGTTTATGCATGCTAAAATAACAGATGACCTTTGCACCCATTTTCAATTTTACCTCATGCTTAGCAATACAACCTTTCATTTGCTCTTTCTAAGGTGAAAAGTGACATTATGTATATTTGAAACTCAAGAATTTCACTCCTAACTCTGATAAAGTAGCACTGGCAATAATCTCTCTTGCTCCCACCCAATGACATTAATATGTTGTTTGCATATTTTAAAATGGAGAAAACAAATCTGTTCTGTGTTTGAAATGAAATCATACTTTAATTTATTTCTTATTGACCAAGAATCCATTGGTAATTGTGGTTATAAAGCATATAAAAAATTTTTTTTCTCAGGCTGTGAAAATGACCAGTGTAAAGACGCAGCTACCCTATGAATATTATTCCTTACCATTTTGTAAACCTAAAACTGGAGTAGTGTACAAAACAGAGAATTTAGGTAAGTCTGTTATCTGATTACACTTTCATTATAAGACTATTCATTTAATAATAAACTTGAAAACAAACTGTCAAGTATACTTAACACAAATTACGTCACACATTTATAAAATGAACAAAGTCTGACAATTATTTTAATGATATAAAAAAAATAAAAAGATCATATAAACATAAAAAATGTCTTAAAATAAATATAAATTGTTGACAAAACAAGTTGACAAACATCTATGCTTAGAAGCAAGAAATATACAGTGTCAGATTTTATTATGCAAACCAATGTTTTCATGATAAAATTGGTATTAACCAACCAGGATATATTCAGGATTTCAGCTTGTAATGTTTTTATTAGAAATATTTACAATAACTTATTTAATGGTGTGAAATCTTTTGCAACTCAAGGTTGTGTGTGTGTGAAAATTCAGATATAAATAAAATATACCTATAAATAAGACAAAAGGAAGAATTTTCTATACCAATACATTTAATTCCTTGAACTTTATCAAAGTAAATGTGGAGAAGGAATGAAATGCATTGGTAAGTTTGTCCTTTTTTTAAAGCTTCAAGCATTATTTTTTTTCCCCTTAAGCAATCCTTATTTTATCTACTAGCCTGCATGCACAAGAAAACAAAACTTATTAAAGAAAATGTGCCTTCTAACAGGATTCAGACCTACATTGCCCTTTGTGGGAGAAACCATTATCTGACCCAGCCTGCTTTGATCACTCAGCTACAAAGAGCTTTACAAGCAAAGAGGTTCTATTTACCTTTAATTGTGAAGCTCTTCATAGTGTGCAGGCTGATAGAAGAAATACTGTTTAAAAAATAAAAATAAAAAACTGAGTCTACCTCAAATGGCTAATTCTGTATACAGTAAAATTGTGAATATCTTCAGATTTGATAATGGTGTTGAGATAAATGTGGAGAATTATTGTAAGTTTTTGGACAACACCTTTTTTGTTGGGTAAAGATCATAATCAAGTATCTTTAAGCTAAAGAGTATAATCCCACAAGACCATATTTTTTCATATTATGCAAAACTATTGCCCACATTGTCAAAAAAAAAAAAAAATGAAACTTTCTAAGACACCAAATTAATGGAATATCCTGCAGCCTCTGCAGATATTTTAGTCCAATAGAAAATTTAGAGAACATCATTAAAAGAGATAAACAGGATAATAGAAAACAATGTCCAAACAAATTTTTCTGGGAAGAAATAAAAACTTTTGTAAGTAATGTTAATCATAACAATAGAAAAGTTATCAATAACTGAAAAACTGCTTAAGGATATATAATGTCTGGAAATCTATATAAATATATGTAAAATAATAATTTATTCACCTATATGGGATATTGAATATATCAAATATTTATTTCTGTACCCTGTATCTTTTGAATTTATTTGTAATAAATATGTTGCATTTTATTTGTGTAATAAAACCTGACTCCTCTCACCAAACAAGTTAGTAATATTTTTATTTTTAATAAGGATATATTAGCTGAATTGTTGCTAATATAAATATATCCTGAAAATGTTACTGATTTTGGTTAGTTACTACCAATATTATTGTGAAAACATTGTTGTGCATAATAAAATCTCACATAGAGTATATTGAAATTTATAACAATACTGATATTTTAATTTTAATGTGACTCAGGAGAATTATCTTTTGTATCTTAATGACTCTTTAAGCATAAGGTTGTAAATAAAATAAAGACTTGATCAACTTGTACTAATTCCAGACAAATACTCATTGAATAATGCTGCTTCTTTTTTTTTTTTTTTTTTTCTCAAACTTTTTTGTTGCAGGTGAAGTTTTGAGAGGTGATCGAATTACAAATACTCCATATGAGGTAAGTGATAAAAATATATAGCAAATACGTTCATTTTTTTTTTTTTTTCTCTCAACCTGAATAACTCTTACATTATATGAATCTTTTTTGTGTCTCAGAAAGTAGTTTCACTTTTAGGCGAGAGGTTTTCAATTACGTAGTAGGCCATTGACTTAATGCTATGAAAAAAAGAATCTTTATTCAAATATTGAAACACTCATAAAAAAAAAAATATAATTTGATCTGTTTTGCTATAGATTGGTCAGCTAAAAACAAAAAAAATGATATAATCGAGATATTGACTTTCTACACTTCTTTAAACAAAGTTTGGAAGGAAATTCTCATCAATACTAGAGTGATACCAGTTAGTGGACTTGAAGTTTAATTTCCAGAAAGAATTATTAAAGAAAAAGATTTTATAAATTACAACCAACAGTAAAGTTAACTGTTTAATCAGTGAATAAATGTATATCATAAATAATATTCCTGTAAAAATGTTAACCAAAATTCAACACTACTTTGCCTGGAAATTTGCATTTAGTGGAGATGGAAGGATCATTAGTACAGAGATTAGGCTATTAAAATGATGAACTGTCTTGGTTGATGTGCTAGATTTGAATCTTCCTCCTTGATGGTTGTATCAATAAATGTTTATGAAACTCTCTGCTTATTCAAGTACAAAGTGAATGAGTGGAATTAGGAATAAGGGAATTGTTGCATCAATCTTCCAGATTGCCTTAAAATACAACACTCAGAATCTTCTTTTTCCATGGGTTTATCACCAAACATCCATACAATAATCTCCTGCTCAAAATAGCTGGTCTCTCATATTGACCAATATAATTGAAATAAGAAAGATTTTTGGAATTAATTCCAATTTTTGGATTCAGATGAAAAACTTGTTTCTTGTGTTGTCCAAGAATCTACCTAAAAAAGCTCTTAAATTATCCAAAGTGATTTCCTACTTAAAAATGAAAAATAAATTTCATAAAACTATTTTTATTCATAAAATAAATCCCATAAAAACTTGTTTGAAACAAACACAAGAAATTGAACCAACACTTTGTTTAATTCTCTTTGCATCTATCTTCCACGCATGAACACTTAAATGTAAGTAATGATCATGCAGACATGGCTATTAACCCATTCAGCATCAAATGATGTTAATATTTCTTGTACTTTGCCTGTTAAGCAGCAGACAACATTATTTAACATCTCTTTGTAAAATTCCTGCCTTGTTTTCATTTTGTCATTTCAACATACTGCTGTGATTAATACTTGTTTTCCAGTGATGTTATTTAATATCTGGGAAATCCCTATTGATTGATTCAATTTTTGACCAACACAAGATTTAATGTGTTAATTCCTACATGTGAAAGCGTTAATATAAATTAATTGCAAAACAAATGTTACTTAAATACAATCTAGAATTTCAGTATTCTATTTGATTTATCCCAATAAAATCCCTTTGAATCTTTTACTTATAATCCCATCTCTAAAAAAAAAAAAAAAATGAAAGCAAATAACTTTGTTCATTTGTTTATTTAATATTTGATTTGTGTGCGTGTTTGTAGACTTAGCCTGCGTGTAAGCTGGATAAGAACTCTTGAAAGCCTACTGGCTAAATCTTAGACTTTATCAATTTATTGAAGCTCATTTTTTTCTTATTGCTCTACAACAAACTGGCAACAGCTGCTCTTAATTTATATACTTCAACTCTATTTGCAGGTCACAATGGCTGAAAACAAGGGCTGTGAAATTTTATGCCATAATGACCAAGCTGTCACTATGACTATAGAGGACAGCAAACTTGTGGCTGAACGTATCAGGCATGCATATTACGTTCACTTGTGAGTAATTTCAGTGTTTAGTACTTTGTTCTGACTTTTACACATACCCTTTCTTTTTCTTTAATTTTTTCACAAGTTTTTATTCTTTCCTGTACCAACAGGAATACTGATTTTTAAGCAATGTTACACTTGATTAAATTATATTTTATTCTTCATCTGGAATCTTGTGAAGATTTTTGTATCAGTGTATATTCACAAAAATATCCCAACTTCAAAATATTTTTTTTAATTATCATTATTTAATAAAATTATTCAGTGAAACTTTCTGATCTTTTTTAAAAAATTTTTTTTTAAATACAAGTACACTGTGAGTAGACAGGGTTATTGCTAAGTTTCAGGAGAGCTAAATTGATACCTCTCCCATGTTGAGCCTTGCCCAAATATCAAGAGTTGATTGCACCCATGATTCTAATCAATCAAGAGGTCACTGTTTGCTATAAGAATTAATGGTCAAGCTAACTGATGATTTGAATGAGTCATTAACTGATTTTCTTCTTAGCAGGCTCTATCAGGAGAATTCCCAGTTTTGTTTTACTAAACCTATGTTAAACAGATTAGATCAACATTGCCCCAAAATAAAATATCATGGCTACACACATTGGAGTTGTTAAATTAGAACAACCTTCTATGATGAATATTTAAGAAAAATAAAGGGAAAAGAAAACCTGACTTGAGATCATATTCAAAGCTTTGTATTCTGATTTCTCTGTCCTACATGCAAAACAATTTAGACCTGTTTGCTGAATAAGTTACCTTCAAGACACACACAAAAAACACACACACACACACGACTGGAATCAAATCATAGCCAGAGCAAAGATGGTTTAAATGTGGAGAGGTTGTTATACTCTCTCTTGAATAGTACTTTGTCTGGGATATGAATACTCAACAAAAAGAAACCATTTTGTTTAACATTGTAATGAAACATGGAAGATTATTCAAGTTTCTTTTTTGCTTATTCTACTTCCAATTGTTTTTAAATGAATCCTTTCTAATACTTGGCTTCATTTGAAAAGAAATACTTTCTTCTTCTTAGATTGGTTGATAATTTACCATGTGCTACCAAATTTGAAATGTTAGAAACCAGAGAAGTACAATATGAACACGGTTATAAACTTGGATTTGTAAAAAATGATGAGGTAAGTATATGATGGCTTTGTTTATTTTTAAATATTTATTTCTAATGATTGGGTGTGTTGTATATGCTTGCTGCTTTTTAAGTATTACTGTAGTGAAAATGCAAATTCATATACCTTATGTTGCCAGAAAATTCAAAGTTATTTAAATGTTACTTTGAGTGTTTTATAAGTGAAATACTATTTTATTTTTTATTTTTTAATTTACATTTATTTGCTCTTTTAAACTTATTTTATATGAACTTTTCTTTTTTAGTTCCAATAAGAATTTATTGGATTTTTTATTTGTTACATAAAGAAGAGGCTATTAAAAAGTTCTCAACCCAATCAAGGACCCCCTTTAAAAAAATTTTAATGTTTGGTCATATTTTGGAAAGTGGGTTAACTTTCAGCATTTTTTCATAAGTAGATGCTATCACCTACTGTAATAGGTTGTTCAACTCACGTGACTGAAGAATTTCAGTCATTGTGCGTTTTTTTTTTCTTTTTTTTATCAAGTCACAATGTCTAGGCTGGATGCTAACCAAGGCTAAAGAACCAAGTCTGCTCTATTATTTAACTCCTAGCTGGGTGGAGAAGAGATGACTCCATACTCTTAAGTGCATTTCTATGAATATTAAAAAAAAAAAACTCAGCTGTAATTCAAACTTGGCTTACCATGTTCTCTTAAGCCACTAAGAAATTATACTACCCATAGAGCCAGTTTTTTTTTTTCATACAATGTATTAAATCAATTTACTTATAATGTTAATAGAAACAACAATGATGTGTGAGAAATGTATTGCTTTTTTTTTTTTTTTTATTTTATTAATTATTGATATTTTTCTTTGTAGGTTTTTATCAATAACCATCTGAAACTCAATTTAAAATTTCATACTGAAGATGAGTGAGTAAATCTTTACTATTTACCTTGGGTTGTACATTGTTCAATTATGTTTTAGACATAATTTTGGTGTTAGTGTTTCTTTCACTGTAATATGAGATTCTGTATTAACATGAAAATAGTCAATAAGTCTCTTTCTAGTAAATTATCACCGAAAATATCCCTTTTGATACTTCAGTTATTCTTGTCAAAGAAATAATTTTTGTTTTTAATATCCATTTATCTGTTCATAGCTGTTGATGAGTTTCTCTTTGGCTTAAATGTCATATTGAATTGAAGCTTTTAAACACCCACTGGTATTTTGGATATGTTTAATCTTTTTTCTTGCATAAACATTAACTTCCTGATGTGCCATATCATAGAATAGATGCTTAGTATCCTGTCGGAGCAAATCAGTAGACTGAAACCTTTCTATATGAACACACTCTACACCATTATGGAAATCCTGTCATCTTGCATGATGTCTTGTTGACAGCTGGGGTCTGTGGCTTCATGGTTTTTGCACCACACTGAAACCCTTCCATCAACTTGATGCTGAAATAACTGGGGCCCTGACTCATCAGAGCATACCATACATTGCCAGTTGTTCAGGGTTCAATTAGCAATGTCACAAGCCCAGATAAGGCTTTATGTCTGGTGTCAATGTGATTGGAGTTAATTTTGCAACAAACCATTCTGACTAGATCCTCTAATCACAATCACTAAGAACCTATGTTGGCCACTGTATTATCTATAATAATAGGTATTGTCTTTTAGTATACATGTGATGCGATAGATCAAGGGATGTCAACTGTTTCCACAATTTCAGAAATAGGATATCCCATCCATCTGACAGCCACTATCATGCTCAGTTCACACTCCAATAATTGCTATTGCCTTGGCCATGAGCAGCCTAGCCAGTGTCAACATTGTTGATTCACCAGATATCAATGTACAACTGATGCAAGTCAAGGTATAGCATATAGTAGAACTACTTACCATTACATATTGCTATCTCATGGCTTTTGATACGTGAAGATTTCTATGATTTTTGTTGCAATTCTTTTATATTTATAATAACTTTCTCTAAAATGTCAAAAAGTTGCATATTTTTATTTGTGATCCATAAGCAAAAATATATATCTACAGGATTTTTAATATTTTAATGTTTGCTATTGATTGGATTCATTCATCTATATTTATTTACTTGCATGTATGTTTGTATATAACTAGGAAAAAATTTGTTAAAAAGCATAGCATGATGAAAGAGGAGCTTAAATTTGATGAAAATAATCTTTTACTGTTTAAATGTTTATTATCAAGAGGAAAGATCAAAGTAATTTGGGGTATTTTTTTTTAATCATTCCTAGCACATCCAAAATTTTTGTTAAAAATCTCATTTTTTTTTTAGTCAACAAAATTGACTTTTTTTTTTTTTTTTTTTTTTTTTTTTCTCTTTTAAAAATCAATTATAATTTTTTCAAAATTTATTTTAAGAAAATTAAAAATGATAAAATATTTTGAAATTGTTTTCATGTACGGTTTTCTGTACATTTGAATTACAGCCATTTTATGGGCACAAAAGCCATGCAAAATTGTATTTTTAATACACTGGTGGTCTGTTGATTGTAACCAGATTTACAATTTATAGTCTGTAAATATAGATCTACTTAATAACACCATTGACTAAACTGTACACTATTTTCGCTTATTTTAGAATATTTAACAACTTTAATGAAAAGATAATTTAAGAAATAACAAATAATTATTTTAAAAATTCATTTTTCATCGAAAAAAAATTTTTGCTTTCAGACAATATTATCTATATTCATAAAAACAACTAAAAGCATTTGAAATTAAATAATATCTTTGTTTATTGAGTTTTGTATGTTACAATTCAGAGCTGATTTCCAGTTAGAGGTGGTCTGATTTAAAAAAAAAAAAAAAAAAATGAATTGCTTTCCTCAAAGCTTTTAACTGATATAATTACTAAATTGTATGGTGTACATTTTTCAGTTTTTCAGGTGTTTTTTTTTTTTTTTTTTCTGATGTAATTTAAAACTGAACCCATTGTTTTTGTACAATCCTGTCTTTGTTAATTTTACCTAGTGTATGTAGTGTATATATTTCTACAAGTTTTCAGGTTTTTGCTCTATCATAGCTCCCCATGATTGTGAAATGTCTACTCTCTTCTTTAATTATACTGTTTCATTGATGAATAGAATTCAGAACCAATAAAATATATAGATAAATCTAAAATAATAAACAAAATAAGCAACTAAAGGTTATGACTATAAGTATTAGTTTTAACAAAAGAAATGAGAAGGGCTGGTTTCTTCCTCTCTCTGAATTACCCCCATCCTCCCATTCCCTATATAGAGAGCCTATAAAAGACTTGGTCTGGGGGTTCACTTAGGACTTGAAACTAACAGTCACCATGCAGTGTTGATTTCTATATTATACTGTCAGATATGTCTGTGTGTATCCATATACACAGGTTGTGAAAACACTTCCTTTTTTTTTTTTTTTTTTTTTTTTTTTTTTTTTTGCCTTTAAAATTTTTTACTTTAAAAGCTTTTATTTTTACCATATCAACCTGATCAAACTTTGAATGTCAAGATCAATTATTGGAAACAATTGTCCATGCTATTTGAGAAGTACATTGTCTGATTAAAACATAAAATCATTTATCATTTATTTTTTTAATTCAGTGGAACATGGAATTAAGAATTTTATATGAAATGAAGATAGATTTTAATTAAAAATTATAAAAAAAATTAATCTGAGTTTATATTTTAAATAGAATTATTGATAAATATTTTATAAGATATTGTCTTGCTGAGTGCTGTTTTCTACTTTAACTTTTGTAATTTCAGAACTAAATACAGAGTCGTTGGCTTTGAGGTTGAAGCCAGAAGGTAAATAACCTTTTTTCTTTTAATATCTTTTATTTTATAAAAAGTCATTTTTCTTTTCTAAATTAGTTGCCTTGTCTTTCATTGATCTCAGCTGGCATTTCTTTACTATTACTCAAACCATTAATGATTGATAATAGTTCCTTTGTTTGGTGATGTCTAAATAACAGCAGGCAACTATTATTGTCAGGGGAAAAATCTTTTCTTTATGCTAAAAATAATTTCCATTAATGGGTGCCATCTAATGTACAATCCAATTTTTGATAGCATGTTCATATGAAAACCCTAAATATTTTCACTTTCAAATAACAAAATTTGTAATTGATGAATCAAATATTATATTTGTAAAATGAAACTGTTGATGTGAGCTTTGATTTAATAACAAATAATTGTTGCCATGTATAAATAATGAATTGTTTGTCTTTAAATGATTTAACGTGTATATATATATATATATATATATGTATGAGAGAGGGGAATAGGTCACTTGATGGTTAACAGCAACAAAACTGGAATGGGTTAGCTGAATTCAAATTCCAACTAAGACAATTTATGTTCACCTTGTGCCTAATGCTCTTGGATCTTTCTTTCTTCAGAACAGACTGAGCTCTTCAGCTTTGCTATAGAAAAAAGGAAACAGCAAAAATAGAATACATACCTTCCCTTTGCTATAGGTAAAAATACCAAAAAGTAGGGGAAGAGGTTTACAATCACACCTTGTTGCTGAAAAAATATGATCGGCAAGCAGGATGAAGGTCCAAACAGACGTGGGAACTTATATAAAATGTTTTTAATTTGTTAATGATAACATTTTGACTGATTTTACTTTTTTTTATAAACAAAAATAAGTATTTCTTTTACTCTTTCACACTCAGTGACCTCCTTTGAGCCTTAATGAATTTAGTGCCTTGTTTGGGGTGAAATGATTAAAAGAAAAAGTTTTTTTTTGTTTTTTTAATTTTCCTGAGAAATATACTGCAATTAAATCTTTATAAATTGTCCAGTACAAGTGAATATAGAATTTATTTATTTCCAGTGTACATCTTTTAAACCCTTGTGAGTTCAGGTTTCATTCGATTATATGTTAATCTGGCCTTGTGCTAAAATTGGTTTTGTTGACTATATTTATTTACTGAATCATATGTAATAATTTTAGCTTTTTTCCATTTTCTTTTTAGTGTTGACAGCAATGAACTCACTCCTGATAAGCAGAAGTGCTCAATAAAAAGCAAAGAACCTAAGCCACAAAAGATTAATGAGAAAGGTAAATTGTACAATTTTCTTTGACACGTATCAGTCTCTCTCTCTCTCTCTCTCTGGATAGATATCTCTCTCTCTCTCTCTCTCTCTCTGGATAGATATCTCTCTCTCTCTCTCTCTCTCTCTCTCTCTCTCTGATGATCTCTCTCTCTCTCTCTCTCTGGATAGATATCTCTCTCTCTCTCTCTCTCTCTGGATAGATAGATCTCTCTCTCTCTCTCTCTCTCTGGATAGATATCTCTCTCTCTCTCTCTCTCTCTCTCTCTCTCTCTCTCTCTCTGGATAGATCTCTCTCTCTCTCTCTCTGGATAGATATCTCTCTCTCTCTCTCTCTCTCTGGATAGATCTCTCTCTCTCTCTGATCTCTCTCTCTCTCTCTCTCTCTCTGGATAGATATCTCTCTCTCTCTCTCTCTCTCTCTGGATAGATATCTCTCTCTCTCTCTCTCTCTCTGGATAGATATCTCTCTCTCTCTCTCTCTCTCTGGATAGATATCTCTCTCTCTCTCTCTCTCTCTGGATAGATATCTCTCTCTCTCTCTCTCTCTGGATAGATCTCTCTCTCTCTCTCTCTCTCTCTCTCTCTGGATAGATATCTCTCTCTCTCTCTCTCTCTCTCTGGATAGATATCTCTCTCTCTCTCTCTCTCTGGATATCTCTCTCTCTCTCTCTCTCTGGATGATGTCTCTCTATCTCTCTCTCTCTGGATAGATCTCTCTCTCTCTGGATAGATATCTCTCTCTATCTCTCTCTCTCTGGATAGATATCTCTCTCTATCTCTCTCTCTCTGGATAGATATCTCTCTCTCTCTCTCTCTCTCTGGATAGATATCTCTCTCTCTCTCTCTCTCTCTGGATAGATATCTCTCTCTCTCTCTCTCTCTCTCTGGATAGATATCTCTCTCTCTCTCTCTCTCTGGATCTATCTCTCTCTCTCTGATAGATATCTCTCTCTCTCTCTCTCTCTCTGATAGATATCTCTCTCTCTCTCTCTCTCTCTGGATAGATATCTCTCTCTCTCTCTCTGGATAGATATCTCTCTCTCTCTCTCTGGATAGATATCTCTCTCTCTCTCTCTGGATAGATATCTCTCTCTCTCTCTGGATAGATATCTCTCTCTCTCTCTGGATAGATATCTCTCTCTCTCTGGATAGATATCTCTCTCTCTCTGGATAGATATCTCTCTCTCTCTGGATAGATATCTCTCTCTCTCTGGATAGATATCTCTCTCTCTCTGGATAGATATCTCTCTCTCTCTGGATAGATATCTCTCTCTCTGGATAGATATCTCTCTCTCTCTGGATAGATATCTCTCTCTCTCTGGATAGATATCTCTCTCTCTCTGGATAGATATCTCTCTCTCTCTGGATAGATATCTCTCTCTCTCTCTCTCTCTCTCTCTCTCTCTGGATAGATATCTCTCTCTCTGATATGATCTCTCTCTCTGGATAGATATCTCTCTCTCTCTGGATAGATATCTCTCTCTCTGGATAGATATCTCTCTCTCTCTCTGGATAGATAGATCTCTGGATGATAGATCTCTCTCTCTCTGGATAGATATCTCTCTCTCTCTGGATAGATATCTCTCTCTCTCTCTCTCTCTGATAGATCTCTCTCTCTGGATAGATATCTCTCTCTCTCTCTCTCTCTCTCTGGATCTCTCTCTGATAGATATCTCTCTCTCTCTCTCTCTCTCTCTCTGGATAGATATCTCTCTCTCTCTGGATAGATATCTCTCTCTCTCTGGATAGATATCTCTCTGGATCTCTCTCTCTGGATCTCTCTCTCTGATAGATATCTCTCTCTCTCTCTGGATAGATATCTCTCTCTCTGGATAGATATCTCTCTCTCTGGATAGATATCTCTCTCTGGATAGATATCTCTCTCTCTGGATAGATATCTCTCTCTCTCTGGATAGATATCTCTCTCTCTCTGGATAGATATCTCTCTCTCTGATAGATATCTCTCTCTGATAGATAGATATCTCTGGATAGATATCTCTCTCTCTCTGGATAGATATCTCTCTCTGGATAGATATCTCTCTCTCTCTGGATAGATATCTGGATAGATATCTCTCTCTCTCTGATCTCTCTCTCTGGATAGATCTCTCTCTCTCTCTCTCTCTGATAGATAGATATCTCTCTCTCTGGATAGATATCTCTGAGAGGGATACAAGTGACTCACTTTGAGATTTAATTGTCATATTCAAATTTGTCAATTCTTTTATTTTTTTTCTTACTTAAATATCTGATAAGTAAAATGTGAATTTGAAAGTTGAATGTCACTTAAACTCTATTATGTTAACAACTTCTACTTGTATTCCCAAACCAAACCATTTTAGTTTCATTTTTCTTAATCTGACTGATTCTCTTATCTTCCAGGTGAAACAAAAGTAATCTTTTCTTATGAGGTTGAATGGCAGAAAAGTGAAGTCAGATGGGCATCTCGTTGGGATACTTATTTGGCAATGAGTGATGTCCAAATTCATTGGTTTTCAATCATCAACTCAGTAGTTGTGGTTTTCTTTTTATCAGGTCAGTAGATAAACATGTCTTTGTCATTTTGAAGCTCAGTTTATTTTCTCTTTTGTACACGTGACTATATTTAACCTTCTATTATGGATTTGAATATGTATAATAGTGTCCCTTTTCTTATTTGTTCCTCTGCTTGTAACAATAGAATCACCTATCAGATTAATATTTAGCAACCTTGTCACACAACTGCTGAATAATGAGAAAATCTATTATGGTAACATGAAATTTGTTCACCACCACTAAAAGCAAGTAAATGTAGTTTTGCCATAATAGAATCTGATAACTTCAAAACTGTCAAAAAAAAAAAAAATGATGTTCTGGTAACATAAGGCATGCATGGTGCTACCCATCATATCAGAAATTCAAATATACCTATGAATTTGTTCACAGGCAATAACCTGTTTATAAGCATTAAGTAACTTTTTCTTTTAATCTCCTGCAAACATCATAAAATATAAATGGCACATTTTAATTATAATTGTTATCTAAATTAATTTATAAATTTTATTTTTTATTTGTTTTTTGTTTGTTTTTGTTTGTTTTTTTTACTTTAAAGATTATCATATTTGAAATGCTAACATTTAAAAAAAAAAAAAAAAAAATGAAAAATCTGAGAGAATAAATTTATAGTCTCTGATATTGAAAAAAACTAGAAATTTTTAATAGTATGGAAAAAATTATTCAACAACATTTAAACTAGTATTTTTTTTTTTTTTTTTTTTTTTTTTAAATATTTAATATTAAAAATCAAAGTTATTTGAAATGAACTATTTACCTTAAACCTCCTCAAAAATATATACCACACATGCATGCAGATTTCTTAATGAAAATTGAGTCAAACTTAATCATTCTTATTAATGAGAAACTGTTTCTTATAGCACATGATAAACTTTACCCTGCATTTTTTTTTTTTTTTTTTAATCAAAAAAGCTTATTTGCACTCTATTTTATAATATATTTTTATAACATATTTACAGGTATTTTAACAATGATTATGGTTCGGTCTTTACGTCGGGATATTGCCAGGTACAACAAAGATGAGGACATTGTAAGTATACTGCATCTGAATAAACATCTTATGTTTATTTTTTTATTTTCCTACCTTTCTAAACACTTTTGAATTTTAAAAACATTAAGCTCTTCAATGTTCTTCAAAACAAATATTATAAATTCTTAGTTTTTTGACTATGAACAGAAATTTCAAACTTTTTGTACAATTATTTACACTATATTCAGATTATTGACCTCGTTTTTTGTTATCACAATATTTTGGCCGTTGTGTGCTTGAGCGTTCATTATATTGATCTGGCTGACCTGCAGGGAATTCTGAACTGAACCCTTTATTTAATCTATGAGGGTAAACTTCTCTTTCCACTGCATATATCTAGTTCTTATTTTTTAGTAAAGTTCAGTTATTGCTCACCAGTTTACACTGAATGAGTACTCACTGCCTGTCCTGGGAATTGAACTCACAATTACTATATCACCAAATTCACAAACCAACAGTTTAATCTGTAAGACACTTCACTGTACTGAACTTGGAGCCTTAAACCTAACCTGCCTGCTGATTAGTGCTGCTGTTGCCTGTCATGTTTTGACTGCTGTTGAAGTCTTGCTGTCATTTGTTTTTCTTTATTGGCAGCTCCCATATTGTAATTATTTCTATGCTATGCCTACTAAAGAGGTCCTTATAGCCTAGCATATGCATTGCAATTCTTTCAGATATCTAACTCTCCAGTGTTCTTCCTTGTCCAGTATTTTCAATTCATTCCACTTTTCCCTCCATATCTGATCAGTCCTACCTGATTTCATTGTCTCACTCCTCGCTATGGCTATTTGGTGTTCTTCCAGCCTTGCTTTTTGGGGAGCGGCTTGTTTCACCTTTATAGTTTCACCTTTATATTCTCTGTCACAACTGCAAGAAAAACTGTTATTCTGAAAGGTACACTTAATGCTGATCATTTCTTGTTGGTATTCGTCAGAGTTGTTACATGATTTTTGCCAAGTGTTGTAGGCATCGAACAATCCCTTTCTTCACGTTTTGTATGTCTGGTTAAGAATTGAAGTCGAGTTATTGTCCAGTGAAGGTTGGCTTGTCCATTAATTTGAAGCACTTTTTTTTGCCTAAAAACACCCAAAATTATTGTAGATAAATGTAAATACAGTATATAAGTATGCATATTTTATTTTTAAGTTATTATATACCTTTAAATAAAGTTTAAAAAGTATTAAAGTTAAATCTGGAGTCTGTTGGTTCCGAGACTGTTAATTTGAGGTTTTACTGTACAGATGTTCTGAACCCATTCTCTGTGAGTTATTAGTATATCCAGGAAGGTGAGCTGATTATTTTCTTCCTTGATTGTCAACTGAATTGAAGGCTTTATTGTGTTCACATCCAGCAGTATTTGTAAAGCTTCCTGGTATGGCTAGAGTATGAAATTGTCATCTATGTATCTTGACCATACAGTTAGCTTTAGTGGTGCCATTCCTAAAGCTTTGAAGTATACCATGTATATGTTTGTCAGCACTGGTGACAACAGTGAACCCATAGTTAAGGCTTCTTCTGTTGATATATGTCAGATTCTAGTGGGAAAATGTACACAGAATGTCAACATTTCCATAAAATTATCTATTGGAAAGTTAGTACATTCTCTCAGGCAGGCATCTGATTCCAGTCAGTTATGGACCACTGTCAGGGCCTCATCTTTAGTAACTCTGGTGAACAGGCTTCCCACGTCCAAGCTTACCAACCTATTACAATGGATGGGAGGACTTTGAATCAGTTTCACTGAGTGTTCTGAGTAGGCACAATGGCCTAAATATTGTGATAACAACAAAGATGAGAACAATAGTTCAAATATAAATAGTTTAAATAACTCCTCATGCCAGTGATTCAGACAGAAATTTTCTGTATAACTTTATTTTGTGATATACACTAGCCATTAATAATTGAGTATAACTCAAGACTTCAATATTAAGATAAAACAGTATTTAATTACAACTGCAAATAAATACATAACAGGAACAAAGAAGTAAAAGTCAACCAAAGATAATTAACCATTTCAATGTATACCTTGTTAGTAGCATGACTCAGCTTAACATCTGGTAAATCCTAAATCAAAACCCAAATCATTGATGCACAATAATTCACACTGATTCGACTAGATAGTTCGCCTCAAAAGTCACTTAATAATCACCAGTCGGTAGCCTGACTCCACTATTTATACACCTGGTGGAAAACTTATATTCATAAGTCCAGAGTGTCACACTTGAACCTTGGTGTTGGGAGTTACTCATTTTCTATGACACTACTATTTTTTTTCCTTTTCCCTGAATAGGCATTCTCTTTCTCAGAGATAAACTTTTCAATGTATTACACTAGATATATTACTGTTTGTGTTTTAAAAGCATCTTCAAAACATGAGCCGAGCGCTATATATATATATATATATATATATATTTGTTTGCTGATGACACTGCAATTGTGGTCTCCTCAATTAAAGAAGCTCAAGCACTCAATCGTTTTTCCACCACTTGCAATGCATTTGGATTAACTATAAGCATAAAGAAAACTGAAGTTGTCCATCAACCAAGGCCTACACCTAAGTAGGTCAAGAGTGTAAAACAAAAACCACCTGCCCTTACCTTTCCAATCGTTTCCCATTACAGTTGGCAACAACAACCTGAAGTAGGTGAAATATTCACATACTTAGGAAGCAAGGTCAATTTAAGTGCCTCTTTGGATCACTAGATAGTTAACCGAATATCAAAGTCAACCAATGCCTTTGGCAAGCTTAAGCATCGCCTGTGAGATATTCGTGGGGGTTTCACTGAAAATGAAAATCAGTGTATATCAGTCATTCTCGCCACACTTCTTTATGGGTCAGAATCGTGGATGCCATACAGGACACACATCAATCAACTTGACTGCATAGATGCTCTCTTCGTTCAATATATGGTTATACATGGCAGGACAAAATCTATAAGCCTCATTTTTTTTTTCATCAAATGTGACATTGGTGGTATTGAATCCTTTCTGATGCAATCACAGTTCAGATGGGCTGGTCATGTCATCAGAATGAGTGATGATTGGATGCCAAAAATCCTCATGTATAGCCAACTTTTTCAAGGTAAGCATAATGTAGGCAATCCTTGGTTAGGCTTCAAGGATAAACTTAAATACAATTTAATTGTTGCAAACATTCCTATAGAGGAATTTGAACTTGCTTTTGAAAACCGAGGAAACTGGAGAAATACCTGCTACCGAGGTATAACTAATTTTGAAAAGAATCGTCTCAGCCATCTGAGAGAATTAAGAATTAATACTAAATCTTGAGCTAATACATCAGCCCATATGATGGTCAACCCTTGAATATGCCCTTCATGTGGATTTGTTTGCAAATCCCATGCAGGATTGTTGTCTCATATGAAACGTAAACATAAAAACTGAACTGAAAAACATATGTCGAAAACGACGGGAGTCCCCTTTAGTAAATTGGAAAAATAGGTCTGGTCAGATAGACATCACACTCAACACTAAGATCAGTCTACCAATTATGTGTCCTGACTGTTCTCTTGTGCTCTTTGAAGACATGGATTATATATTGCCATCATGTCAAAATCTTGGAAAGATTTCCTCAAAAGTGCCTTGGGCATATCTTATACATCAAGTGTTTATCTTTTACACCAGACACAGTTGGTCTGCAAGGCACCAAAACACCCAGCAGAGAGAAACTACTCATTCATAATCAACTGTGCTGGACATGGTATCTCAGGAGAATGAAAGATTACCTAAGCACATGTTTAAGGGGAGCTCCCCAGACACACACCTAAAAAGCATTTCAGAGATGTTAAAGACAACATGAAAACTTGTGAAATTAGTGTTAAAGAATGTGGAAAATAAGCAAAAAATAGGCCTGGTTGGAGAAATCTAGGTTTTGATAATTGCAATCACTTGAAGGTAAAAAAAAGATTGAGCTCTTAGGAAAGGAAGAAATTCCATCTGAGCCTGTATGTAATATCTGCAGGAAGGTTATTCTATCTTGTGCCAGATTTGCTAGTCATCTAAGATCATATGAAAATCATCAGTCTGATACTATGTAGATGTCTTACCTGACATACCTACAGGGTACTTATGCCAGTTTTGTGACAGTTTTTGTGCTGGCACATGAGAGGGCATGAGAAGAAAGTCACTTTGAAAATTCTTCAAAAGTCTTTTGTGTGTCACCAAAAAAGATAGTATGCAGGAGTGAGGCTGGTTTGCAAACTAATCTATGGAGGCCCATGGCTGCTAAGCTCAACACTGAAAAAATGTTCCTCTTCTGTCAAGAAGTGGTAGTTATATGGGACGGCTTTAATGTTTACTTTTGGTTACTCAACAGCATTTTTTGAACTTAGTAGATTATTGCTTAGATGTCTGGTCCACTGAAGTTGATAGTGGTTGTCAAAAAAGTTTAATTTCTGATAAAATTCTTTTATTTTATATATTCCTTTAATCTTTTTTTTAGAAATGTTTTTCATTCAAAGTTCAGCTAGCACATCATTTAGCCACTGTTTCTCCCAAGTTCTATAGTTTGACCTCTGATTCCAGAACCAGTTCAGATTAATCAATGTCAGAAGACACAAAAACAGAAAATCATTTCTGACCCACTTATACACCTGTTAGCTTTTTAGATGGATTGATAGAAATACAAATAGTATAGATGTTATTGACATTCTTTAATCTTTTGTTTATTGATTTTAACTTTTCTGCTATTTTGAGTTTTCATTGCTTTCCAGAGATCATCTTTGCTTCAATATTGTTTCCATTCTTATATAAATCTCTTTTAATAGTAGACCATGAGTTAGCTGGAGAGGGTGGAATTAATTTATCTTTTGTTTGTAAAATGGACAGGTCAGCTTTGCAAAATGGAGTATTTTCTTGCAGAACATAGTCTTTATCTTAAAGCAGGCATGGGCAACCTTTTTCAAGAAGTGGGCCACATGAGACATGTTACTTTCAAAAGCTTTCAAAATTCAAAAATATACTTGTTATGTATGTGGTTTAATCGAACTGTCAAGCTATGGTACTTGGTTAAAAATGTAAAAAAACAATTTAAAAAAAAATGAAATTTTATGTGCATTTAAATATACATATTTAACTTTAATCGTTAGTTATCTATGAATAAAGGGAAGAAACTAGGAAAATAATTGCAAAACAAATTACTTTGATCTGAAGTAGAACCACCTGAAATCAGAAGAAAAAAAACAAAAAAAAAACTGCATTGGCACAAGCAATAGCCCGACTAAATCAAACACATTGGCTAAAACATTGCTCTAACAAAATACAAGCAAGAAACATATTATCCATTTGTTATTGATGATGTAAATAGAAACAATTTACTTGTGAATTTTAATGAGAAAACTGGTGTTACATTTTCTATAAGTTTCTAAATATTTACAGGAATTTTCAATGTTGCAACTCATAAATTGTGATCCAGATGAATATCAGTCACTGTAAAACTAGTTTTTGACATGATTATTTTCATTCTAGAAAATAGTTGTTCACATTTATACATACTGCCAAACATGACTGCCTACCTTCAAGCAAAATACACTATTTTTGAGTAGTTCTCTTTGGGAAAGTTCCATAAAAATGCATCAAAGATACCTCTTTAAATTTTTGCCAAAGAAATTCATCACTCTGCAGCTCAATTGGCTCCATTTGTAATTCCTTTCAAACCTTTTCAGCATTAAAGGGATTCCCCAAAAGATAAAAATCAGCTTCTCTAGCTTCAAAGTCATTAAATCTAGAGTTCAGTTCTTTTTTTCAGCTTGTTTAACTCTACAGCAAAACCATCAACTCCTGATTTTCACCAGTGATTGGCTCGTGTGGGGGAAATGAAAAGCATCACCAGTCCTGAGTTGATTCTCCCAAATTTGAATTTTTGATTGAAACAATTTGATATGAGAATACACCTTATAAATCAATTGGTTTGGTTTTTGTAATTTTAAATTTAAATCATTCAAATATGTAGTGATAACCATGAGGAATGCAAGGTCACAAATCCAGTTATCATCTTTCAGCTCAGGAACAAATTTACTCTTCATTTTTAAGAAGGCACATACCTCTTCTCTGAGGCTATAAAATTGTTGAAGCATCTTCCCTTTATTTAACCAATGAACTGCACAGTAGTAAACCAGGTCGTCAGACTCTGATTCAAATTCTTCTAAATACTTTTTAAACTGGCGATGGTTAAATGCTCGGGATTTTATAAAAATGATGGTTGAGACAACCACACACATAATGTTGTCAAATTTTACAGATTTGCACATAAATTTTCTTGCTGAATAATGTAATGGATTGTTAGAAAGTTGTTGTTTGATAAATTCAAAGAAGTTAATTCTTTTTTTAATTTGGCAAGAAAGCCTACCTTAGACCCAACAATTGCTGGGGCTCCATCTATTTGTTCAAGCAGGAGATTCAACTTTGAGGCTGCTTTCTTAACTTCTTCATAAATCTTATATCCTGTAACTGTCTTTTATTGTCTGAAGAGTTAGTAATTCTTCAGTGATATTGAATGACTTATCAATACCACGTATGGAAATTGTCAGCTGTGTCGAATCGGATATGTCTGAGCTTTTGTCGATAGCCAGTGAAAAGAAAAATCAAAGTCTCTTATTTTTTCTGTCAGCGTACCCTCAATATCTTGTTATTGTTCTGGAAGACAAACTAAACTTGTCAAACATATTCAATTTTTCTGGAAACAAAATTTCAGCCACTGACAAAAGACCTTTTACAAATTCACCGTCAAAATAATTTTTTTTAATATTTTGCCACTTTTTTGCTAACATAGCTAGCATGTAATATTTCTTTGGACCCTGTCCGTGTTTTGGAGAAGAGTGTATTTAAACTGCTAATCTGTTTCTTGAGGGATTCAATTTTTTGCTTTCCGATATCTCCTTTATATTTATCATATCCCAAATATTTGAAGTGAATATTTGGATTGATGTAGATTGACTTTGAAGCACATTGAAAATCATACGGATAACTGGCATTAGCAATTTCTTTTCTAACTTGGGTAGTCACAATGCAACAGGCAATAAGGGAATTTAGTCGAGCATGTAATAATGCTTCCTCCAACCTTGTGTGTGTGTGTGTGTGAACAAGTGAGGACAAAATGAGACAAACAAAATTTGAATTAATGTTATTTTCCTTGTGACTCGGAAAGCCACATGTGTGGCCCACAGGCCACAGTTTGCCCATGACTGGCTTAAAGCTTCTAAATTGTGACCTATATTACTAAAAAATATATTTTGTCCAAGAATATGAATTCTTTGCCTCTACTTTGAGATCATCAACTTTGAAGGGTCCTATAACTTTATTAACTACTGTACTATCCAAAATATTACTCTTTTGTGTCCCTATTGTCTTTTAAGTTGACTATCTCCATGGAGGATCCCACCTCTAATCAAGTCATTAGGTCCACTTAATGTAGCTTTACATTTTATCACTAACAATTAATGTTGAGACATCAGTTTTCTTGTTCTACTTTGCCTATCTTGTTGAGATGTTTATTTAAATGTGGTAGTTTGGTTGCTTTCCTGTTTTTAGCCAATTTTCTTAATATGCCTCTTCCTTTCTCTCTGTTTGCATTTGCAACACTAACTACTTGAAATATTTTCTTTCTGGTCAATATTTTTTTTTTATTAGTTTTTAATTTTGTTTTCAAATCTCTTAAGTCCAGTTTCCATTCTTGTTCTTTTCTTGCCAATGTCTTCAGTTTTATTATTATTATTATTATTATTATTATTATCTGATCTCATTTCAACATTTGTTGCAATTTCTAAAGTTCTGTTCCAATCAATCTTGTTTCTGTTGAGATTGTGACAATGTTTATAGAGCAGATTTAAAAAAAAAAAAGTATCAATAACTATACAATTATATATAATTTTTTACAATATCAACAACCCTTAAGTTACATAATAAAATTTCACACAGTTATTGGGAAGTTTTCTAATAAAGAGATATTATATTATAAAGTGAAATTCACCTTGTATATTTATCACATAAGTATATCCTGAAAATTTTTATCAACATTTGTTAACAATTGTGAAAACAGTTAATTTGCATAATAAAACTTGTGTGGGTGTTTGGAGAGGAGCAGTGCCTTATGCTCGAATTTGCATGTTACATCCACAAGCTTTACCAGGAAATATTGATTGCATATGTGTTTATATTGCAACATATTTAATTATGTGATATGATATAAAGACACTACCAGTTTCTTCTTTCTTTTTTTTTTCTTTTTTTTTTTCCCAATAAAAAAGAAAAAAAAAATGGCGTAAACAGTAATTTTTAAAATTTTTTGTTTGATATTTTCATGTGTCAGTAAATTTCTCAAATTTAAAGAAATCCTGTCTTTTTGTATATTTGAGAATACTGAATAAATGGAATCCATAAACTTGGATTTGTTGTATGGCATAAGCAAGAATCAAAAAAAAAGTCTATTTATGTTCATTATTTTTTTCAGGAGGAGACATTGGAAGAAACAGGCTGGAAATTGGTCCATGGTGATGTCTTCCGCCCACCACGGCATCCCAAACTTTTGGCCTCACTTATTGGTGCCGGCAACCAAATCTTCTGCATGTCTCTCATTATCATATGTAAGTTAAAGAATTGTAACTAAAATTGTTTATTTTTATTTACTAGTTTAAGCAGCTGCTATTTTAAGCAAAGTTTATATTTAAAGAAAAGTTAATTTTTCCAAAGTACATCTAGAGACAGTAGTAGTGGTTTCTTAAATAATTTGCAGAAGGTTAAAAATTTGTCTGTTTTGTAAAGAAAACAAATAGTATAAATTAATATAGTATCATAATATATTAATGTGTTCTTTTTTTTAAGGGGTAAATATTTGTGTATAACATTGCAGTGGAAAGTGATTTTGATAAATTTTCAGGTCAGTTTGAATTGTACTGGCTGAGTTAACACGCGTTGCTTGGCAATTTGGTTCTATATTCAATGAGATTATGTAGCTACCCTGCTTTAATGTGATATATTAGAAAATGTGTTACTATTAAAGGAAACCATTTGTGTCTGTAATTGGGAAGATACACTTTAATGAAGATACCAGTTTTCTTTACAATAATTTCTCCCTTTTTATAAAAAAAAAAAAGGTTAAACATATTGATATCATTCCACAAATGAGCAGGAGATTAGATTTCAGGGATTACCAGTGTACAATGTTTTCATTTGTGTAAATTTTGAATTACTCCCTATTAATTTATTGTATCCTTGATAGTAATTGAAAATGAATACATTGAAACATCTAAAAACAAATTTAAAGAAATAGTTTTACAACAGATGAGAAAAGAACAAATCTCAGAGCACTTTATGAGAAATGATCACGGAGGACATAAATGCAAAAATGTTGAAATGGTTGATAAGTTTGGACTTGGATTACACAATGAGCATAGAGAAAGATTGGTCCATTGGTGCATGACAATAATCAGCACTTGATTTGAAGAACACTCTGGATTTTTGCTGACTTGGAAAAGCTTAACAAAAGACATCACAAAGCAGATGGACTACTTGATTATCAACAATCAATTTATAAACAAATTTGCACAAATGTTGACTGCAGAAGTGACCACCTCCCAGTCAAATGCAAACTCTGGTAAAACTACAAAAAGGAAACCCAAATCAAAACCTAAACTGAAATATGAAAGTCTACAGTGACTCTATTTGCAAATAAACATATGCAGCACAGTTAAGAAGAAATAGAAAATTTTGGATTGGGTCAGTTACTCAAAGTACATCTCAAGGAAAAATTCAACAAAAACCATTTTGAGGAAAGATAAACAAAAACAAGTGATTGGTGGAATTCTTGACCTAATGAAAGAGTAGCAGCAGTTAGAACCATGAAATGACACAAAATATATATTAAACAAAAACATCAGAAACAAGTGTAAGAAAGCAAGAGGAATGGTTCAGCAAAATATGTAGAGATCAAGTCAATAGAATACAGATTTAGCAGGACAGAAAGAGAAAACAATAACAATGGAAAAAAAATTATTTTTACAAATATAGAAGAGGAGCTCTTCCATGACAACAGAGGAGAAAAGCCTCCAGTGCCTAAAAGTATTGAAGGATATGTAACACTAAAATCTGAAATTAGTACTTTTCAAGGTTACTAGGAATGACTAGATGCTTGACAGCTTTAGATGACTTTGGGATTGATAATATTACTGAAGTGATAACTGAAATGACGGTGAAATACTGGAGAACTTCAGTAGATCAATTTTAATAATGCTGGTAACTGAGGAAAGAAGAAAGAATAAATCATTAATTGTAAGAATATAAAATGGATGATTGTCAACCCAAGTTGTGGGTTATGTATTGGGGACACAAAAATCAAGCAGTTACAAATTTTAATTATCTGGGTAATGGAAAGTTTCTCAGAAATTTGAAAGTTCACGGGAATAACAAAGGCGACTTTTCTGAAGTTGAGCAGGGTATTAAGAGATCAAAAAATGTCCTTATAAGCAAAGTGCTGAATTGTTATGCAATATCTTGTCCCTTATATGACAGGAAATACTGGACAATGTCATCAGAGATGAAGAAAAGACTCGAAACAGCAAAGATGTTGTTCTACAGACAAATGTTAAGAATATACGATGGGAAGAGTATGTAAGAAACAAGTTTTAAGGATAATGGGAACTACAAAACAATTTATTGCTAGCTGTCAGAAAGAAACAACTGAAATCTTTGGAATTTCTGAGGAAAAGCTTTGAGAATTTAATACTGACAAGGCATAATGAAAGTGAGAGAACAGCAAGTAACCTATTTGACAAGTTTAAGTAAATTGATAGTGGAGCAAATATTGCAAAGAGGAAGAGTAAAAAAGCAAAACAAAACAGGAGCAATAATTAACAGAAGACAGGAAGTTGTAGAAAGCCATTATTCGACACATCTTGAAGGATATGGCACAGAGAGAGAATAACTTAAAAAAAAATAACTACAACAATATTATATTTAATTATATTTTAAAAATTTCTTTTAGCATCTGTTTTCTTTTCTTCTCTTAGTCTTTGCCATGCTGGGTATGTTGTCTCCGGCTTCCAGAGGAGCACTTATGACCGCTGCCATCTTTTTGTTTGTTTTCCTTGGGTAAGTTTTTCTTTTGTACTGAAAAAATGACCCAAAATTGGAGCAGCTACCAACTATGAACCAGCTACCAACTATGAACATTAAAAAAAATTGTTTTAAATAATAAACATTTCATCTGTTTTGTTGTATATTCAATTTCAAAACTGTTTCTGTTTACTCTTCCATCTGTGAATTTATTTTTTGTAACCACTAGTCTTACTTTTTTTCTTTTTTTTTTTTTTTTTTTTTTTTTTTTTTTTTTTTTTTTTGATAACTGATACTTGTATTTCTTTTATTTTATACAGAAAGTTTACTCTTAATTTTAATCTATTGAACCACCAAGTCAAATTTAAATAATACTTTGGTCTATGTACCTACATAGACTAAAGTATTATTAAAACATTCTTCATAAATATTAAGTAGAAAAATATTCACATGAGTTTTAACACTTTTAGGTACTACTAGACCCTATAAGCCCATTGGGTTTCTTTTAAAATCAATTCATGATACAAAATGAGATAACAATATTATCAATTTTATTATTAATTACACATTTTAACTTGTATTTGCAATACAAGTTATTGTAATAATTACTGTCATTGTCATAATAGGAAACGGTTTGAATTTGAAAAGCACTAAAAATCCTCTTAATGTAAATAAGTCCTGATTTAAAGTATAAAAATAAATTATTTTACAATATCAAGATGTGTTTCATTTCTTTAAGAGAAATTTCTTCTATAAAATGTACTTTGAATACAGAATTAATATTATAGATGGGAAAAGTTTTATAATTCCACTGGGCTTCATTGTTAACACATTGAATGAAAATTTGGGGTAATTGCTTCAAACAGGTGCAGTCTTTTCAAAATAATAAGTAGATATTTTATTATACATATTTGTTTCTTCCTTGTGTTTATTTCAAAATACATAACAGCAACAAATCAGTGTGCATCTATTTATTTACAATCAAATCACGACACATAAACTCTTCATATCTTTCAAGTAGTTGTTTATCAAAAACATTCTAATCTAGTGAATTGTATAAATATAGATTGTATTATGCATATTTAAATTTATTTAATAATATTGTTATAATGTATTATGAATGTTTATTTCACACACACACACACACACAATAGTATGAAATATAATATGTAAAAGGTTTGTTTATATATGAGAATTGATATAAGAATGTGTATCAAAAACAAATACTGAATTTTCTATTAAAAATGCTGTATAAACAGGAAAACGACCCTAGCTAAAGAACCCCTTGTCTAATTTTAATGAAATTTAGCACTGCACTCGAGATTAGTTCATAGTACAATATTCTCCTTAATTTGTTATGGTATTATGCATTGTTTAAGCTCAATCTCAGGAGCATACATACATACATAGTTTTTGTATTATATAGATATGTTTAGAATTTTGATGGTCCATAAAATGTCTCTTCAAATTTAAATATTCCAATTGTGTTAGGATGATTTTGCAATCATGAATTTATAAGTTTTGTTCAAGTTGCACAATTTTTTTTATCTAATTTTGAGTGTGGAAAAATTGCTCGGCATAATGACTAAACTCATGACTCCAGGGTTGATGATTGAATGACACAAACTCACAATGACAACAAATGCTTTTGTAATTTTACATCTTACATATGGATTGTTAGTAGTTATGTAAATTTTATTTCAAAATGCAATGTATCTTTTTAATATGCTTTTATTATAATTGCTACAACCTAAACATTACTCTGCATTCATCTACTATTCCGTTCTCCTGATAATCTAGAAATATTTAACACTTAAGTTTTAGTAATTTTTAAATTCAATGTAGTTTCCTCTTTTATTATTTCAAACTATTTTATAGTTTCCTCTTATTGTTTTCAAACTAATCCATTTTTTTTTTTTTTTTTTTAGTTTGATTGCTGGCTATTTTTCAGCACGTCTCTACAAAACTATGAAAGGAAACCAATGGAAAAAAGCAGCATTCCAAGTGAGTTTTCTTGTAATGGTTATTGTTTATTTTTGCAAGCATATAACATTGGCAGTCAATCATACTTTAAGATAAGCTGAACATTAAAATGGATTACATTTTTGAAATAGTCAAATTACATGTGGAAAGAGATTTCTAATTAAAGAATTGGCAAAAGAAAAACAAAATTGCTTTTCTTTCAGATTGGTGTTCCTCAAGCTGGGATGATATGACTAATGATGTTGAAATTTAGGAATTTAACCAAAATATATCAGGCATGCAATGACTGAATTATCAGATACAAAGTTTGTGGCAGAGGATAGAATGTTTGATATTATGTAATCAACATTGGCTGGTGACCCCATGAAAACAAATGAGCAAGTGGGCAACAATATGTATCTGCCCAAAAAGGTAGAGAGCATTATCAGATTCTAATGAAAAATGGTACCAAAGACAAGTGACTTTTTTCTTTTTTTTTTTTTTTACACTTTCTTGGAGACAAAATACTGGCGAAATTTACACTTTAGCTCAAGTTCCAACTTAAGTGCTGAACATTCATAAATGAAGGGGTTCAGGCCATTTCTCTGTCAGTTTTGCTTTACTTTAACCCCTTTTCTGGAACAAATGATTTTATTTGTTTAGCTATAAAACAAGCATCTTCCTTTAATTCTTGTAGTCACCAACATTTTGGTAACTTCACTTTGTGCCCACATCCACTCACTGTGCGGATCTTTCAAACATAATGTGAGCATAGAAGAAATTGATGGAGTGAGGACAGACTGCAGGAATGTATACTTGTTATAAATTTATAAAAAGAAAATTTTTCTTTACTACTGAAAATATATATATAGATGGTAAAATTTTATTTAGAATTTTTTCGATTTGGTGGTGCTGGAAAGACCCAGTGTTCATTAGCTGGGTGTGTTATTGCTTTATTTTTATTTTATTTTTTCTATGTCCCCCAAAAAATCTGCCTTTCGATGCAGCTATATTATGGATGGGAGACAACCAAGTGTTCTACCTGTAGGCTAGGACATCTGATGAGCCTGTGTCCATTAGGCATAAAAATAGTTATTAGTAATAAAATATTGAAAACAAGCCAAATTCTTACAATACTATTTATATCAGCTTGCTTTGTTTCTATCTACCAGTACTCCTTGTTATAAATGTACTGATACTTCTTTTCTACTTTGGCAAATTTAATTTAGTTTCCTTTAAAATTACAATATATGTTTTCATACTTTATTACAGCATAGTGTTTAAATATTGTATTTGCAGGCACAAAATCATGCACTTCCTCTACTAAACCACATTAAAATATATTTCAATAAATATAAGATGAAACACACTAAATAATTTTTTTTTTTACAAAATATCCTTGTAAAATAGGGTCTTATGTGAAGGTGCGTATTATGAAGGCAAATACAATATTCTGTGAACATTTTCTTTTATATTGACTTGCAGTATTACTAAATTCATGCTTAAATGCATTTGTTGAAACCTTAGAATGTGTAAGTCATTTTAATTCATTTTATTTTTATTTGTTTTTTCAGACTGCAACACTTTATCCTGGAATACTTTTTGGTACCTGTTTTATATTGAATTTTTTTATTTGGGGAAAGCACTCCTCAGGAGCTGTAAGTAAAAAGCCATGTTCTTTTTCCTCTATATTATTTAAACTTACATAGATGATTAAGAAATTCACATTTTAAGCTCTTTTCTACCCTGATAACTTTTTGCAGTTGCTTTCTTTTTCATTTTATCTTGTTTACTACTAATTTTCAGGACTTTTTCTATTGGTGATCTTGACTTCTGAACTGTCATCTATGCTGGTTAAACAATTATCATGTATCTTCTAAGATATGAGAACTTGTTATTGCTATGAAATCAGTATTGTTGTGTGTTAACATTAAAATGACTTGTCCTGATAGGAGAGAGAAGTAAACATTACAAAAAGACATTCCCCCAGTTACAAGGTGGCAGTTAGCTGAGTATAAGTTAGGGAAAACAATTCTATTCTATCTCAACCTTTTTAAGCAGTGGTACATTTAGCAAATTTTTTAAAGGATATACATTTAAATGTTATGAAATAAAAACCATAAAATTAAAAAAAAAAAAAAATACACACACAAATATGAACTTTATTTTAATGTTTCTATTCAACTATTTGTGCAGCTTATTTAGTTTGAAACCTGTGCCTGTTTTTTTATACACTTTCAATGTTTGGTTGGATGTGTGATAAGCAGCCCTTCATTTCTTTTTCAGTTGAGTGTTGTGTTGTCATCAGAACAACCTCTTGTTGCCACTGTTAAAATGACAATGTATACGTTTTTGATAAAATATCAATGCCAATGTAGTAGAAAATTTTGTAATCACAGATATCAATTATAATACGCTGTTGAGCAATGCTGGTGTCAGATGTCTTAGAATAACTTGTACTAATAGTACCTTGTATTGTGAAATAGTATAGAGAATAGCAGTACGAATAGTAATAGAAGATAGTGGAGAAAGTGAATTTGTAATATATGGGACAGACTAAGAATAGCGGACACATCATATGTCATACAACTTCCTCTATCTAAGTGTTTCCACTATGGTCACATGATCTACCTAGTTTAATAATGAGATCACCTGTTTTTGTTTACTGGCGATCTACATTCAAACACAATTGATACTTTATTCCTATATAACACCTCCCCTTTGAGATGAAATCCTCTGAAGTCTATTTCTTCATGTGACTCTCCCTCCCTCCAAATTTCTTAGTAACTCTTCAAATGTATTGACAAACCGCTCCGCTTGTCCGTTTGATCTTGGGTGATACGGGATAGTTTTAATATGCTTTATTGCTAATGGTTTGCAAAAAAGCTTAAATTCACTAGATGTGAATTGAGTCCCGTTGAAAAAATCAGCACATATGCGGATTTTATTATTTTTCCTTTTAACATACTGTTGGTGATGCCCATTCAGAATAGTCTATTTTTGATATCACACCTAATTTTTCTAGTCTGTCTAATCCATTATTGACTGGACCTAATGTTGCAAAAGGTATGCTCCTTTTTGGCTTAAATGTCGGTGTCAAGTTTTCTTTCAACTCAAACTTAGCTTTAGCTTTCATGCATATTCCTAGACCTTTTGAGAAAACTTCTGAGAAACTTATCCAGTTCATTTTTTAACTTTTCAGTTGCCATATTAGTACTGTAGGTAACATTTATCTTGTTGCAAAAAGAGTTAATTGGAATGTCCCAAAGATTAAACAATGCAATCCAGTCTATTCCAAACAAATTAGCTATATTCACCACTGCGTTTTTTTTTTGTTTTTCAAACAAAAGAAACATTACAGTTGAATTCACCCAAAAAGTTCAATCTTTTTCCTAAGACTCCATGCACAACTTTATTAAAAGACGATAAACTGATTTTACCCATTTTTCTCCATGTTTCTTCATTTATAATAGTGATATCAAATCCTTTATCTAGTTGCAATTGTATTGTTAATCTGCGTGAAAACAAATTTCCTCTTTTGAGACGTTTTGTTAATTTCCCTTTTAGGCTTCTTATTGTTACTCCATGTATTGTGTTTACATGAGTTTTATTTTTCTCCTCAATTTATTGTATCTGCAACATGTACTTTGTGCCCTAATCTTCCACATTTGTAGCATTTTTTATTCTTGAAGAAACAATCACTTTTAAGATGTTTACCTCCACAATCATGACAGGCATTAGGAATTGAGCAGGGATTATAGTGTTTTTTTCCTGTTCTGTCAGGTTTTGAAAAACGTCTTTTTTCTCATAGTTGGTCAGACACTATGTACGTGTGAATTTTTTTTCCTCAATTCTTGTGGTATCGAATCTCAAATTCACAATACGCTGACATTGTTCTATTTTCTGGAGAGTTAATTTAGAATCTCTTTCTAATTCAGCCAGTATCTTGGATCTTATCTCTGCGTCCTTATTAGAAGTTAAACCCTTTATGAATATCAAGCATTTAAATAAGTCAGGAGTTAATTCATTTAGCTTGAATTTCTCACATTCTCAATTTGTGACTCCTGTATAAGTGACAAAATCTTCATCAGACTTTACTAAGTTAAGACACTGCTGTCGTGTATTAAATAATGAACTCCTATCACCAAAAATCTTTGAAAGAATTAGAACAGTCTCCTCAATTTCTCTCTTTTTTTTTTTTTTTTTTTTTTTTTTTTTTGGCAAAATATGATTCACATATTTTTCATGTTCTGCAGGGGACAATTTCCTTAACAATAACCAAACTTTATTTTCATTATTCCAATGCGAACAATCCCTTTTGAAATTCCTTTCATATCTTCTATAATAAGCTGGAAAAGTTATCCCTTCATCTGGATTGTACACAAATTCACTAATTGCATTAGCAACAGAATCTGGAGTGAATGAATCTGAAGTTTTTTCTTCCATAGTTTTGGTAAACAATTCAAAAAACTTCTGTTGTAGTTACAATTGTAATTGTTGCTCAGTTCGACATTTTTGTTGCTGCAACATTTGTTCTTGTTGTTTCTGTAGCACCAACATTTGAACCATAGTTTTTAGTTCTTCCATTTTGCCAAACTCTGAACGAATCTTCATGTAAGCTCAAGAAATTCTCACAAATCCTCATCGCCACTGTTGTCTCACTGAAACGATACTTTGTTGCCACTGTTGTAATGATCACATATATTTTTTTGATACTTCTTCAATGCCAACATAGTAGAGGACTTTGTAATTGCAGGTTTCAATTATAATACACCGTTGAATAATACTGGTGTCAGACGTCTTAGAATAATACTCGTACTAATAGTACCTTGTATAGTAAAATAGTATAGAGAATAGTGGTACAAATAGTAATAAAATATAGAGGAGAAAGCAAACACATAGTATAGGGCATAGACTAAGAATAGCAAACACATCATACATCACGCAGCTTCATCTATATAAGCATTTCCGCTATGGTCACGTAATGAGATCACCTTTGTTTACTGGCGATCTATGTTCAAACACAAGTGTCAGTAGTGACACTTTATTCTTATATAACACAGTCTTTCTCACTTTTTATTTTTGATGTTATTTAGGGTTGAGAAGCCTAATTCACATAAGTAGAAAATTGCTATAAAACTGATAAAGGCTTTTTAGTTAATATGGGATCTTCTTTTTCTATTGAAATCCAAACTGTATCAATTGGTTCCATCAAATGATTTATTTTGAATCCTCAATCACTAGAAATGGTTAAATGTTTTAAAAAGTTAAATTAAAAAAAATAAAAATATTTTTTAAAGTATTTAAAATAACATAATTGAAGAATAGGGAAAAGAATTATTTGAAAAAAAATGTTTGATACTTATTCATTTATTCAAATATTAATGCTGTACCATTATTACTTCCACACATTCACACACACAGATATGTATGCTGTGATAATATTTTGCAGCACAGTGTCATGTCACGGTGGTTGAGAATCATTGCTATAGATAAATATAATGCTTCTTTCAAATTGACTATGTGGAATATGCTGAATGTGATTTCTTTTACATTGACTGATGAAGAAAAGCATGGGCTTTGTTTGGAGGTGGGAAGCTTCAAGTCTTACCACTGTAAAATGTCACAAACAGGAACAATAATTGTAGGTGCCTTTCTCAGGAGTTCATCTATGTACCCTTCAATTTATTGAGATTGATGTTGAACATTTATGCATGCCAGTGGCATTTATCCTTCTTAGTCTAGGAAAATAGTCTTTTTCCCTCCTTTTTCTCTTGTTCTTATCAATAAACTTAGCTATATCTTATTTCACCAGAAAGTGTCAGTCCTGGTTGCCCACATTGCAGTGATTTATTATTATGACTATTTCTATCCATCAAAGGAAGGGTTCCTTCCTAATACTGTTTGTCACAGTTAAATCTGTTCAAATCTCAACAATGACTTACATTATTTTATTATTCTATGACATCCACCCCATCAATCCATTCAATCTTCAGTCCCAGCAGCTGACGTTGAATGGATCACTTCAATTCAAGCCTTGCCTTGTCCACATTGTGTTTTTTTTTTTTTTTTTTTTTTTTTTTTAGATTACAAAGCTTGCGTGGATCAAATTGTCAACAGGAATCATTGAATTGATTTGGTCCAAACAGAGTGAAGCCACAAGTAAAAAAAAAAAAAAAAAAAATAAATAAATTGTATAAAAGAAAATGTTTTATATAATGTTTCTTGTACAGAGCCTGCAGTACAATTATCGGTTCTTCAGGCAGGAATATATTCTTGTACAGAGCCTGCAGTACAATTATCGGTTCTTCAGGCAGGAATATATTCATCATGCAAAGTTATTAATCCTTCCCTCTTCAAATATTTCCTGACACTTTGTTCATTGTGACTAAGTATAGACAAGGCTTCTGGAACAACTTAAGTTAGAGGTTTCTTCAGGCAGGAAGTCACGTGAGATCAGGTGAAGTGGTTCTCTCTTATCTGGCATCTGGAACAACTGGTGTTTTTGGTTACTACAACTTTCCACATATGGACCTCCATCCAAAACTGGTATGGGCTTCGGTAAAACCCCTAACCCCTACAAAGAGTCTTTTGTTGTCTGATTCCAGAAAATTAATTGCATGCCCAATTTGGGAGAGATCCCTCCTCCTAAGAGTAGTAGTAACAGAATATCAATCCACCCAACTCCTTCCTTCTCACATTGGTACCTTATACCAATACTACCAAAGGGGTATAGGCAATTCCTCTGTTCACCTGATATTTCACCAGAGTCCTTCACTTCGGTTGTCATTTTGACAAATTCTATCTTTAGACTGCATAGGCAAACAGGCAAGGCTTACTTATAATCAGTAATTTTAATTATCACTTGAAATTTTCAATGGGATTTCTCTACCCAAACCCCATTCTCTCAGTCAGACATTCACCAGGTGTCCCCATGACGGCTTTTGACCCATGACACTTGGGGTTCAGTTCTTATCTAGCAATTTACCCATTCTTTCTTTTTTGACAAGGGATATAAATCAATTCTATGACTTTGCTTTTGTTCCCAGAAAACCTTAAAAATATTATCAGTTCAATTCTTGTCGGCAAAATCCCTGAACCTAGCTTCGCTGATAAAACCCAGAAATTTACCAGATGGTATACAATGAATCAGAAGCTATCATTTTCTTTATCTTTTTGACTGACTTCCCTTGTTGGGTTATGGTTTGCAGGAAATTCCGTAAGCCGTACTTTAGTGATTATCAATCAGTGTCTCCATTTTGGTATTGTCTTAGTAAAATCCTCTGCTGACTTGAATGTTATTACACCACCTCTCCCTATTCCTTGTGGGTTTAAATTATCCAGATGGCTTTTCAGCTAGATTCCTCATAATAAAGCCATTTTACTTCAAGTCAGCCCTATTCCCCTCTTTTGTGGTTTATTCGAGGAAGAAAACAAACTTTCTGAATTTTAATAAAATCCTAATTCGTCTCTTGGTATGTTTATCGGGCTATCTCTTAACTCTTCCAGCATCTTATAGTGTCACAATTCTGCTCACTGTATGTGTTGCAAATATTTTTTGAACATCTTTTTAAATTTATAGATTTATTGAACTAAATCATGTATGTCACAAGACCAGATACTTGAATCAACGATTAAAAAAAAAATCTCTAACGTTAATTTGCCAGGCAGTTTTATTAAACATTAAAATGCGAGAAGATGAAATAATATTTCAAGTATTTTCTATCCTATTGACAGTATACATATTCATAGCTGGTCTTTCCATATTTAAAAAAAATAGCTATAACCATGTTTGATGATTGGCTCATTTTAATAATCCAGAAGACAAATAACTTAGCAAAGGAAAGAAAATTATATAGAAAAATGACAAAAGATTTTTAAATCTCAATTCTTTTCTGAAAGTCTATTTTTTTTTTTTTTTTTTTTGTTTTCCAGGTACCATTTAGCACAATGGTTGCACTTCTTTGTATGTGGTTTGGAATCTCTTTGCCTTTAGTGTTCTTGGGATACTTTTTTGGTTTCAGAAAACAGGTAAAAACATTTTGTTTTCACTGGAAAATAAAATAGAAATAAAAACAAGTTTGCACTGTCATATTTTGAACTATAAATACACATTATTCTCATTTATGAAACTGAAAATTTAATATTACTAATTGATTTTAATTTTTATCGATTTTATTTTTACATTACAGCAATGCTATTTTATTCTTTCATTAATAATTTTTAAATGACCTGAGTGTATACAAGAAACTAAAATATTTCAATCAAACATCAATGACATTTTTTATTTTTTTTTTTTTTATTTATAATCACTGAAATATGGCAAGATGAGCCCTAAAATTTCTCTCCTATTCACTTGGTTGATTTTCTCTTCTGAGAGTTGCCTCAGAGTTTTAAAGGATATTGGCACTAAAGTTCAACTCATCATATTTATTGAGCAATAGTTTTTCTTTATAATTTATTGAGCAATAGTTTTTCTTTATAATTTATTGAGCAATAGTTTTTCTTTATAATTTATTGAGCAATAGTTTTTCTTTATAATTTATTGAGCAATAGTTTTTCTTTATAATTTATTGAGCAATAGTTTTTCTTTATAATTTATAGCAATTTTTTCTTTATAATTTATTGAGCAATAGTTTTCTTTATAATTTATTGAGCAATAGTTTTTCTTTATAATTTATTGAGCAATAGTTTTTCTTTATAATTTATTGAGCAATAGTTTTTTCTTTATAATTTATTGAGCAATAGTTTTTCTTTATAATTTATTGAGCAATAGTTTTTTCTTTATAATTTATTGAGCAATAGTTTTTCTTTATAATTTATTGAGCAATAGTTTTTTCTTTATAATTTATTGAGCAATAGTTTTTTTTTTATAATTTATTGAGCAATAGTTTTTCTTTATAATTTATTGAGCAATAGTTTTTTCTTTATAATTTATTGAGCAATAGTTTTTTTATAATTTATTGAGCAAAGTTTTTCTTTATAATTTATTGAGCAATAAGCAATAGTTTTTCTTTATAATTTATTGAGCAATAGTTTTCTTTATAATTTATTGAGCAATAGTTTTTTCTTTATAATTTATTGAGCAATAGTTTTTCTTTATAATTTATTGAGCAATAGTTTTTTCTTTATAATTTATTGAGCAATAGTTTTTTCTTTATAATTTATTGAGCAATAGTTTTCTTTATAATTTATTGAGCAATAGTTTTTTCTTTATAATTTATTGAGCAATAGTTTTTCTTTATAATTTATTGTTTTCTTTTATAATTTAGTTTTTTCTTTTATAATTTATTGAGCAATAGTTTTTTTCTTTATAATTTATTGAGCAATAGTTTTTTCTTTTATAATTTATTGAGTTTTTTTTCTTTATAATTTATTGAGCAATAGTTTTTCTTTTAATTTATTGAGCAAAGTTTTTCTTTATAATTTATTGAGCAATAGTTTTTCTTTATAATTTATTGAGCAATAGTTTTCTTTATAATTTATTGAGCAATAGTTTTTCTTTATAATTTATTGAGCAATAGTTTTTCTTTATAATTTATTGAGCAATAGTTTTTCTTTATAATTTATTGAGCAATAGTTTTTCTTTATAATTTATTGAGCAATAGTTTTTCTTTATAATTTATTGAGCAATAGTTTTTCTTTATAATTAAAAAAAATCTTATATATTTCTTGAAGATGATTTCTCTTGAAAACATTAATATTGAAACCATTATCTCAATGTCTGTCTTTTTTTTTTTTCTTTTCTCTATTTGCAGCCCTATCAACATCCTGTACGGACCAATCAAATACCAAGACAAGTCCCTGAACAGATGTGGTATATGAACCCTATATTAGGGTAAGTGTTTATTTTTGTTTTGTGTTTTTGTACAATAGTTTAGGAGGAAGAAACAAAATGGTACAAGACAGCATTTGGGATTGAACTCACTTAATGGGTTATGTCCTTTAAATTTAATGAAAGTGCTAGTTGGTAAAAAGTATGTGTCAACATGAAAACGGAAAATGCTATTTCATAAAACCTAATTCCTATAATTTCAAAGTAAGACCTGATCAATATATTTCAACAATGTAAAATTTAAGAACTTAGTTACTTTGTCTGGAGAAAATTCTTGAGATATAATAAGCATATCTGCCTGTTTAATGGCAGCTCCCCTACTTGTAAATTTAATTGGAAGTTAACGTGGATGGGATGCTTAATTAAATGAGATTGTTAGCATAGAAGATTCAAATGTGTCGCTCCTGTCTTTGGTATTGTTTGAGAAAATGTCTTATGGCATTGTCATGGCATCAATTCTCATTGTCAATGAAAATATCTAGTTTTCTATTGAAAAGGCCAAAGAATAAATTCTCAGACTCATAACAACCAAATTCTTCATAGCTAATAATAATATCTCAGCTCAGAGTATACAGAATCATTGAATAAAAGTCTATATGGTTTTCCAGTTTCAAAGCTTCCTACCATCATGATCTTACAAAGATGTCACTTAGCTTGGAAGGCAATCAGATACTTGTAAAATCCACAAATATAGACAACTGTTTACTTGATGGTTAAAACTGAAAATTAGCACAAAACAAGAATCCTGAAAATCTTTCATACACAATTGATTTCCTTCAATGATAATTTGACATTATTTTCTTATCTTTAGGACTCTGATGGCTGGCATTTTGCCATTTGGTGCTGTTTTCATTGAACTATTTTTCATTTTTACTGTAAGTATTTCATTTTCAATTGATCATTTTATTTATTTATTTATTTATTTTTTTTATTTTTTTTTTTAACAATATTCACCCTGTATAAGGCCCAATAGCCACTTGAGGTAGTGTTACAGACTAAGAGGTAAAGATTATGAAGACAGGTGAGGAATGAATATTCTATAACTGAATCCTCTTTTTGTGTAATCAAATAATTCTTACTTGTAGTTTCTAAATTTATTGAACATGAAATTCTAGTAGCATTGTATTTTTGGAAAAAATGCAGAAAATCTTTCATTTTCCAATAACTTAAGTTGCTTTTTAATTTTTTCAACTAGATTCATTTCACTCAAGGAACAGTGTGTGTGTATGTGTATATATATATATATATATATATATATATATATAAAGCTACTTAGATATTGAAATTATTACAAAAGAAAACCTTTCCTCCATAAACTAATTTTATGAAAGAACATTTTCTAATTAGAAGTTACTACCCCAAATTATTATAAATGCTGAAAGATTTTTGGCATTTATACCAACTGTGTCAAGAGGGTTTGACATAACAGCAGGGATGTGTGGCTGGTGTAATGGACAGTCACTTGGACTGAGATATTGGAGAGCCAAGTTCAAATTTCAGTTCAGTTATTTACATTCATTTACATGCAAAAATATCCTTGAGGAAGGTATAAATCCATCTCCCCATCCCTTTGTTATGAGTAAATAGCAGGACAGACTGGGGCCTATAGCCTTAATTGGCTTATTAGTCTTGGAGAAAGAAAACTGAATTTAAACCAGCCTGGAGAAGGTTGGTCTCTGTCAGGTTATCTTGCTTGAAATGCACCACCACTGCAACAGTTGCAGTACACATAGTGCTTCGGTGGTTCTAAAATTTTACACAATCTCAAATTAGTTCATTAACTGCACTCAGTTGCAGAATGTCATATTTTTTTATTTTTATTTTTTTATTTTTTATTTATTTTTTTTATTTTTTTATTTATTTTTTTTATTTTTTTATTTATTTTTTTTATTTTTTTTTTTTTTTTTTTTTTTTTTATTTTTTTTTTTTTTTTTATATCACTTTCTTTCCTTTGCTAAGTTAATTGTTGAGAGCCTCCGATATAGTTTACTGTCTTTGTGACCAAGCTAAGCAAATGATCTAATTTTAAAATCTTTGAACACAAATTTTGCTGATGAATAATACAGTGAAAATGTGCAAATGATGAATCTGGATGCGAGTTGTTTTCTTTGTAACTTGACAGCAACACCATTATGTTTGCCAACTATATTCACAGCACCATCAGACATGCATGCAAGTTTACTCAAATCAAAACTATACTCATGCAGAACCTGCTAAACACTCTCAAAGATGTCCTGGCTTGTTGTAGTGTCATGCATGGTGGCCAGTTCAATCAGTCCTTCATAAATATTAAATTCACTGACATAGGCCCTGATGAAGGTTGCAAGCTGTGCTATTCCAGTGATGTCAGTGGTTTCATCAATAGCAAGAAAAAAAAATGTTTAAACCTTGATGATACAGCCTTCAAATGTTGTTTCAAATTCCCTGACATTTCATCAATTCATTCAGCAACAGCGTCTTGGTTAATGAAATGTCTTTGAATTAAGTGCACTTTCTCTGGACATACAATTTCAGCTGTGGTTTTTACAAGGCATTGCTTTACAAAATCTCCTTCACTGTAAGATTTCCCATTCATTTAATTGACTTTATAATATCTTTTCAGTTTTTCTTTTGGTGATGGTGGTGTTGCAAATTAATGTAACTTTTCATTCACTATTGTGAAAAAATACAGTAATTCCCGCTTTTCTTGAAACACTTGTCCTTCTTTGTTCCATATACTTTTTCTCTTAGCTGGAGGAGCACTAGCCATTTTAAGGTTGCAATAGTAGGAAAAAAAACTAATTTTCAAAATTGATTTGAAAAAGTTTCCTGTTTATAACTCTTAATGAGATGCCATATTGTTTTCATGGTGTGATGGCTGGTGGCAAGGCTACTAGAGAGAATTTGTTCCTGTGCTATTTTCTCAGGCACCAAAAATATCAAATATTCGATACAATTTATAAAGTAATAGCTTAGTACTGTACTAAAGGTTTTAAAATAATATTAAAATTATTTTAAGTATTTTGGTATTCTATAAAAATAAATCAGTGTAAAAAGATATGATTTATTTTCTTAAATACTGTAATTTCTGAATTATAAAAACTGTAATTTTGGCTGTTAAATGACCAAATTAGTATCTTTTGTGGGGGCCACATGTTTGACATGTTTGGGTTACAGGACTTGTAATTGTAAACTACTGGAGGAGTTGTCTTTTTTTTATGCTTAAACTAATAAATATTTTTATTTGCTTGCAGGCAATTTGGGAAAACCAATTTTATTATCTGTTTGGTTTCCTGTTCCTGGTCTTCATCATCTTAGTAATTTCGGTGTCACAGATCTCAATTGTCATGGTCTATTTCCAGCTTTGTGGGAGGTGTGTTTTTGATTTTTTATATATATATATATATATATATATATATATATATATATATATATTTTTTTTTTTGAACATTTTATTCTGTTTCTTTTAAAATCCACAAAACTAAAAAGAAACACAAATTGAAAATAACTTTATGCTGTTCATTTTGACAAATTTATACTGTTCATTTTGACAAATTTATACAAATTATATTCTATAAATTTTCTCAAGTAATGTAATTGTTTTGTTGCGTTTTTTTTTTTTTTTTTTTTTTTTTTGTTATATAACTAATTTATTTTGTATGGATTGTGTTCTATTGTGAATTCCCAGTGGATTAAGATTTTCTGTTCTTTGTGCAGGACTATCATTGGTGGTGGCACTCCTTTATAGTATCTGGAGGCTCTGCAGTCTATATGTTTGCTTATTCCATCTTTTATTTTGTTACAAAGGTAAGTTTGCTAGCCATTTGCTTCCTTCCCATATACAACGGTAAAAAAAATTTTCCTCTCAGCTTACTACTTTTAAAATCCAAAATAAAATTTTATCTTAATTCTCTTCAATTTTATTTTAATTCTCTTCAATTTTATTTTAATTCTCTTCAATTTTATTTTAATTCTCTTCAATTTTATTTTAATTCTCTTCAATTTTATTTTAATTCTCTTCAATTTTATTTTAATTCTCTTCAATTTTATTTTAATTCTCTACTGAACCACATTCTTATCATTAATTTTTTTCTCCAAAAAAGATATGATAATGGGTATTTTCAATTCCTCTTAATGTAGAAAGACCATAATTGATTTTATAAAAATTTAATTTCAAATAAAACTCAGGAAATAGTTGATAGTCTTTGAAGCTTTTATTTGATTTTTCCCTTTGTTTTTTTTTTTTTTTTTTTTTTCCTTTGTCAGAATGCAGATGAAGCTAATAGTCTTACTGATAAGTCTATCAGAATTGTAATTAAAAAAAAAAAAAATTAAGATGAAGAGTTAAAGATTTAAAATGCCCCAAAGAAATTTAGACAATTTAAGATTATGAAAAACCATGTCCTGTTGTGACTCTCACACCTGACATGACCCTTTATCATTGACACTTCTATCAACACCTATCACGTCTCAACTCACACACCACACTCCCCATCAGAGCTATGTCACTTCTGTTCTTCTTTTCACCGGTCACTAGCCCTGCCTACTTTGTTGAGTAATACTGACCTTATGGGTCATCTGACTTTCTTTCCCCTCCTTGGTAGGGGCTGGCGTGTCATCTCAGTCGTGTTGATTAGGATTTCCCAAAATCTGTGATATTGGGATTGGCGGTAAAGTCTAGTGTGACCCCCTATTTCTATGTACGTTGTGTACCCACAGATAAAATTGGGTAATTCCTGCCTGTGGTCATGATAAACTTTTGTCTTTCTTATTGAATATAAAGAAAACTGGTTGAATAAAATGTGTCTACTGCAGGATAGTAATTTGGGAAACATCACAAAAACTAAAGTAATAACTTGACAATCAGCTCTTCGTCAATCCTTCAAAGTAATAACCAGTCTGTTGACACTTCCTCAATTCTTCTGTCATGCATGTCTGTTTTGGCTCCACCTCAAGAATTGCAGGTGTACTCTTTACGACGACTGTCTTACGAGCAATCCAAGGCTGCGCCAAGCCAACTTCTTGTTGGGACTGATCTCCTCCTGCCACAACTCCCTGTCTGCCAATTTCTTCTGTCTGTTGGCTTGGGAGACCGTTGTTATATAGACGGCTCCTCCTCCAAAACTGTTTTAATCTTAGGAGACCTGGTTAAAAAAAAAACAAAAAACACCATATGTTACCTCTTTTGTTTAGTTTACAATCTTCCTAGATATCGTTCTGTAAAGATAATTGTGTTCATGGGCAGTCAACATAAACACATCTCAATCTTGGTAATGTTTTATTCTTTGTTTAGAATAAGTTGTAAGAATACACACACACATTCTGGATAGATATCATTTTGTAAACAGTCCTGAATTTGAATTTCTCAGGACCAAAGAAATTTGGACAACACATTAATCATGTCTTCTTATTAGTGGGTTGTGTATAGGGTTGGGAGCTTTGGTTTTGCTCAATTTTACTGAAGTTTGTCGAGTTAATTTTGGGTTCAATTCTCTTTGGAACTGTTTTTAAACTCATTATTTTAAAACATGAATTTTGAAATTGTTTTGTTTTTAATTATCTTCCCAACCATTCACTCTACTCTCTTGAGAATTTTAATTATTATCCAATTAGTTGTCCCTCCAAATCACCATCTGGTAATTTCAGGCAATTAAACATTTAAACAGGGTCAGTGCCCTGTTAGTGTTTTAAGAGAATTCTTGAAGACCAGAAAAATTTATTTTCATCAGGTAATATTTGACAACATTAATGCATTGAGTGGATTTTTGCTTGTGTTCAGTAGATTGAATATGAATAGATATTCATATGATATTGAGTAGAGATGCAAGTATCTGTCTCAACTCATTTGTGTTCCATTATTTCAATTTGTCATCATTATTGGTGATTGTCTTTTGTATTCAACTGGGGAAAAAAAATCATAATTTAAAATATTGTCTATTTAATACATGGCATTTGTTGGCCACTATAATCTTGATTGTGCAAATAAGAAATAGAAAAATTTGTTTAAACAACTTTTGTGACACAATGCAGCCATTATGTAGGAGTCTGCAATGGACTATAAAAATGATACCTTTGCATTTATTTATTTGTTTTTTACCAACTATTTTTCAATCTTTTTTTGGTCCATTTTGTTTTATTTGAATTCTGACTGGATGTTCATTATTCTTTCAGCTGGAGATCACAGAGTTCATTCCAACTCTCCTTTATTTTGGCTACACACTGCTGATGTCATTCACTTTCTGGATCCTGACTGGCACCATTGGATTCTATGCGGCATACTTTTTCATTCGACGGATTTATGCAGCTATCAAGATTGACTGAGCCAAATGTTGGGGCTAAAAAGAAGAAAAAAAAAAGAACTTTTCAGACTGTGAGAACTTATTATTAACAAAATATTAAAATTATGAAAAGACGAGACATTTCTGAGAAGAGAGACTATCACAGGCGAGCCCCATGCCATAGCCATGGATTTATTCTGATAATATTCTGCTCGGGCTGCGTTCTGTAACATCACAATCATATTCTACATAATAGTGCATGGGTACAATGCACCAAAATACCACAACAAATGTCTACACTTGTTTTGTCATACACCTAACATAATCCTCTTCTCTTTCATCCAAGATCTTTTCTTCTCACCTTTCCTTCTCATATTCTTGTCATTATTCTCCACTTTTCTTTCTGTCACAAAACTCTTATTTCTCTCTTTCAATGTTCAACACCAAAAGAAAGACAATTTTTATCCTCCTCTCCAGTAAATGCCTCAACTTTTCTTTCTCTCTCTGACTTCCCCCCTCCTTTACTAATTATGGCAAATTTTCAGGTTGAGTGTTTGCATTCTATAATGCTTACATCAGAATATCTGAATAGAAGAACTGATGAATAAATGAAAGATTGAGATGATGATGATGATGTATGGAGGATAATGACAAGGATGACTTGCACCTACAAATGTTTGTGTAGGTAATTATTACTTACATGCACATGTTATGAACTTGCTAAATACACCCAACAATACATGCATACACAATTTTTTTTCTGTAATTTTATGAAATGTTTCTGAACAAAATTGGATTTTGAATGTATCATGCAAATAGAAGACAATGGCCGAATCAGTTTTACTCACCAATCTGATTTTGTTTTTATATTTTGTCTCTTCTCTCTTCAGATTTCTGAAAATATTTAAGCATTTTCTCCTTTTGAAATTTGTTTCCCATTTCTCCTTTTCACATTCAGCCTTAACCTGTTAGCCACAAGCCAACTACGTCTTTGGTTTGGCAGTGCATTTACCAATTGAACAGTTAAGGTTCACTATGTTGAATAGAAAGTACTTTTATTTCTTATTTATTTTGTTCATTTATTTTATTTGAATATATTTTTGGATGACATTAGCCAGGGATCAGATTTTATGGCTCATCAAATATGCTTTTCCATTTGAGTTTTCTTTTCTTTATTTCTTCATGTATATAAAAAGTGGGGATCAATTTTTAATTTTGAAGTACACAATGGTTGCCTATTTTGTCCTGTAAAAATATTTACTGTTGATTTGGTAATAATGCTCTTCTACCATTGGTGAGATATGATATCACTAAAATATTTATAAGCTACTATTTTATTATTTTCCTTACCCTTGAGCTGATCTAATTGTGTCTAAACTGCTTGCTCAGTTTTGTTTGCTATTTACTGTCTTTATTCTTTATAAATGTGCAGCTATAAATTGACAACCTGTACATAAAGACCATAATAGTCAGAATCATTTATATAAGTAAAAAAAAAAAAGGACAAGTCCCATATACAATTCTATCTTATAATGTTATATTTTATCTTAGTTAATATTTTTCTTTAATTTACCTTCATATGTGCTTGTTGACAGAATTAAAACTCTTGACAGGTGTGTTTGTGTTGCATGAGACATCTTTCTCAATTTGTAAATATTCAAATCTTGGTGAATGTGTCTACCCATTAACAACTCAACTACACTTTTTGTGACATTTATATTTAGATTATTCCAATGGTGGGGGACATCTAATTTTATTTGAGATGCTTAAGCATCCAAGTGGAGAGAATCATTGTCTCAATTAGCTTTAGAATCAGTGCTTTAGATTTTTTTTTTTTTTTTACTCAATGAAATACAAAATTTAGGAAAAATATTGATGCTTTGTTTTCCTTCTAATTCAAGTCCTATTTGATATAGAAATAAATAGATCTATTAAAATCAACTTGTTGGGAGATGATGTTTTTACAATAAAAATTAATTTACTTTTACATTTGTTCTTAGATTTTATAAATGCTATTATTTTTGTTTTTCCTCACTGATCCAAATTATGATTTTGAATAATGGATTTTAAATATTTTTTTTTCCTAAACGTGGTGAATGGTTTTTTTCCTCTTTTGTCATTTTGAAAGAAATAGATTTTGAATTATCTAAGTAGTTTTACAATAGTAAAATGAGTTAAAATTTCAATATAATTAAAAAGATTGTAAGTTGGTGAAAATTGTTTTAATATACACAATATCATTTTTTATGTCAATGTTTTTCCCTGTCCTGACAATTCTTAAGCCATAATTATCAATAAATTACCCTTGCCCAACCACATCACTCCACATAGAAATAAATTATTCCTTTGTCAGTTATTCAATATTGAATTGACACCAAAGGCTTTAGTTTTTAAAACTCAATTTCCAGCTAACCATTTCGGAACAATTGTAGATTTACAAACTTTCAAATGTTTACTAATAAAAATATTTTCAGTTAATTCACTGTTTTTCTTTGTAAATTACCTACATTACTTTTGGTAGTTTTTTTTTTTTTTTTTTTTAAGTCCCTTCTAATGGCATATTTTAGATCTTAGTGTCTCACTTGAATTGACTGGAAGGACTTGCTTACAATGAAGCTGGTCTAATAATAATTGTTATAGTTTTTTTTTTTTTCTTACACAGGGAATTTATTGGGCAAATTTAGGGGAAAATAAGGTTAAAGACAAATTGGGTTAGGATTAGCTTTTTTTCTTCAATATTTATTTATTTTTCCTTATTTTAACAGAGTGCTATGATAACAAATGACTGGCTCAATTCCATTCTACTGAATGAGTGAAAAGAAATGACAACAATAAAGAAACACAACAGAATTAAATACTTGAAAGATGACCATTGATGACAAATATACCAGTTTATGAAAAAAGAAACTCAAGATTATTAATTGTAAATATAAGGTGTGTACACCCACACAAGGAAGCCATTGTTTGGAAAGTGTAAAGTCATCATTTATTACATGAAGTAATTAAAGTAATTTTATAACTAATTCTAATGAAATGTTGGTAAATGGGATTCTTAAGAAATGAAAATAATTGCATACCAACAATCATTTTGCGATCCTTAATGCTTGATTGTTTTGACTAAAGAATGGGCCCAGCCACATCGGTAATTAGTATAAATGTGAAAATGTTGACATTTGCTAGACTTTGTCAATTTTGTCACAAGCTCATATTCTTTCAGCACCTAATGGCTAAGGATTTTAGTTTGCAAAGCAACAATCATAATTTTAACATTCCTATGACAGGAGATATAAAATTATGTACAAGAAATGATTTGTTTTTAATACCAGTAATCAGACAAAATTGAATGCAAACTAGATACAGACAACCACAACAAAAGATATATATATATATATATATATATATATAGTTTTAAGGTGTGCTATATTTATGGGTTAAAGTGATCAGTATCAGGAATAGTGTATGTGAATATGCAAATGGACATGCATTTAAACATAAAACAGACTGTTGCCACTGGGTGTTGACTTCAATGTCCACTTGTGTGTGTGTATGCATGTATGTATATATAAGAAAAGAAAGGACAAGAGGAAAACATTTAATGTCAACAGTTTTAATTCCTTGAACTTTATCAAGGCAAGTGTGGAAATTCTATTTGGTAATGTGGGGAAAATTATTAAGCTTTTAAATTTTGAATTGGAGAATTCTATAAAGTATTCTTAAAGCTTTACTCTGTAGGGAAAAGTAAATTATAGAGAACACTAAGTGACAGTTTTTCAACATTCAAACTGAAAGTGGATTATTATTGATTTTTTTTTTTTTTTTTTTTTTTCATATATATGTAATTATTTTTATGTATTTTTAATATTTAAAGTCATTAGTTGATCATTTTTAATTTTCAAAATTTTTTTAGTCATGCTTAAGGAGTGAAAATGTTGGTACAAAAAAAATTTTCCTCTTGTCCTTTCTTTTATTCATTCATATGGTCTCTACAGATATATTTTATTTATATTTGAATTTTTGCACAAAAATGTGTATATACATACAATGATTCAGGTATTTGTTGTAGAATAACACAGATAATCCATTCACATCTTTTGCCAAACCAAGTGTGTGTGTATGTTTTAAATAAATAATTAGGCATGTAATTTGATTGGCTTAGAGCTAATCCTAACAAATGTCTACTGTCCAGAGGTTTTCTATGAGCCTGTAATTCAAGAAACATTTTTCTGATGGTGTCATTGTATACCTTGAAGTTTTCTATAACAGTAGAATTAATAATGTGCACTATTTGTTGAGTGGTAATGATGGATGTATAAGGAAAAGCGTTTTTTAAAAAATTGTCTACTTATTTTTATTTCTTTTACTTTTGAGAATTTTTTTTTCATGCTAAGCCCACATGAATGCTTCACATATAGTTATTCATTTTGTTATAAATAAAAAACATTTTGAAGCTTTTCAACTTTATTGTAAAGCAACCAAACACCTTAATCTACAATAAGATTTTTTTTTTTAATTTCCTTTGTCTTGGAGTTTACAAAAAAGTGATCATCATTATAAAAAAACAAATTCTTTAATTTTTTTTTTTTCTTATATATAAGCCTGAAAATAAACAAAATAATTAAAATAACAAAAACAACAATGCTAATAATTCTTGGACTTTGTCTAATAAATAATTTTCAATATAATTTTTCCTTTTGCTATCATTGACAGCTTGGGTGGGAAACAGCTGATCAAACTCTCTTGGCCATTTTCTAGAAATTATCACTACTGACAAATTTATTTTAAAATGCCACTCAAGATACATTTAAAATTCAATTCTAACAGATTGTTTCAATTTTTTTTTTATTACGGAAACCTTTTTGTTTTGATTTTTTTTTTTTTTTTTTTTTTTTTTTTTTTTTTTTTTGTGATAATATGAAAAAGTTGCAGACAGCATTTGGATGCTTACTTGTTTATCCTACAAGGATGTAGAGTCTGAATTACTATTGCACAATGTCTGCAAATTCTTCATCCCATGAATACTGTAAATTCTGGTCATGTTT